TTCTTCATGTCGACGATACGATTGCAGATGTTGTTGTCTTCTCTTCGGGACATATCTTTAGAAATCACTATACCTAAATATTTAACTTCCAGTTCAACTCTTATAGAAGCTATATTAGAATCAGAACACGTGTGAATAGGTAACAATTCACATTTGTTAATATTCAGACATAGTCCTGACGCCTGGGAGAATAATGAGATAGTGTTAAGCGCTTTAGCTACCATGGATTTATCTCTTAAAAACAGTGCAGTATCGTCAGCAAACTGGCTTATTTTGAATTCCTTGTCAAAAATGTTAATACCATACAAATCAGGGTCTTTTTGGATGATAAGTGCCAGCAGTTGAGTGGTTAATATGAACAATTTGGGGGAAATAGGGCATCCCTGACGGATACCTCTCTGCACTTCAAACCTAGGTGTCATTCCAGGGTTAAGCGAGACAGAGCTAGAAATGTTACTGTAAAACATTTTGATCACATTACAAAAGTTATCCCCAAAACCCAGGAAATTCAAGGCTTTAAGCAGGAAGGGATGTTCAACCGTGTCAAAAGCCTTATAAAAGTCCAAAAACAACACTAAGCTTTCTGTCTTTATATACTGGCGATAATCAAGCATATCAAAAATCAATCTAATGTGATTGTGTATATGTCTTCCTTTTATAAACGCCGACTGACATTCATCCACTAAATGTGTTAAACAATCATTTAAGCGGTTCGCATATACATGAGCCAGTAATTTATAATCATTACACAGAAGGGTTAACGGCCTTTAAGGCTGCAGACCCTGAATTGGGATACAGCCACAGTGTTTTGATTTGTGACCTGCTAAAATGGTGGCGTGCTCCCACAATGCATTGCGGCGTGATGCCAACTCCAAAGCCCTATATGTGAGGGAAAGTAAAAAAAAACAACAAATTATGTTTTATGTTACATAAAATTGATTAGTGGATCACTTAACAAAAAGGCTATGAAAACTATTACTATTTGTAGTAATTACAAATTATTTGAATGTTTGTAATTCTTTGTATTACACCCCCTGGCATATGTTAATTTTGTTCTGGTTGTATACATGTTCTGTTTTCTGTTTCTTAATAAAGTTTAATATTTAAAAAAAAAGGAAAGTAAAAAAAAAAGCTCTTACTTTCAGATCAACTGGACTTTGATCAGCTGTTTGTGTCACTGCTGTTTCCTTCTCCATGCCGCTGAAGCGACTGAAAATAATTTTTATTTTGAAAGGGAGAACTTCTTTTTCCAAAAGTTGCAAACAGTCATTATGATCCTGAAACAGCAACGGGAACTGGAAGCTTTGTCTGCTTCAGGTGAAAGTCTGCCTTCACGACCTGAAGATGCATCATGAGCCTGCTCCACCCCCTGCTGGTGGAAACCACACATTACCAGACTGCTGCTTCATCTGCTGTCACCACATCCGATAAACATCTAGAAAACATCCAACAAACATTCAGCAAACATCCAGAAAACATGACCACAGCCTCAATGACTACAGACCTCACATATGTAGTCCTGCAGTGTTTCGTGCAGATAGTGTCTCAGCACATCAGAGACTGCCTACCTCCTCCATTGACCCCCACCAGTTTGCATCAAGAGCAAATCAGTCCACAGCAGAAGCCATCACCATCACCCTTCACAGAGCGCTGAGCCATCTGGAGACTAAGAAGAGCTAGTGAGGATGCTCTTGGTGGACCACAGCTCAGTGTTCAATACCATAATCCCAGACATCCTCACCTTCAGATCCCCTGTGCCATCTACTCCTGGATTAAAGACTTCCTACCAAACCAGCCTTAATCAGTCTGACTCAGCCCCCACCTCACCCTCCAACTCAGCACCGCACCCCTACTGTACACCCTGTACACCTATGACTAAACACAACCCACCCAACCAATGTCACCGTCAAGAATGCCAATGACACCACCGTGGTTGGGCTCATCTCTGGAGGAGATGAGACAGCATACAGTATAAATACAGTGAAGCTGAACATCTTTAAAACAAAAGAACTCATAATGGACTTCAGGAGGCACAGACAGGTGCCTTCTCAATATAAATGGAGAAGGGTGGACTCTGTCTCCACCTTTAGGTTTCTGGGCACTCACATCACCTGGACCCACAACACCATTGCCCTGGTAAAGAAGGCCCGGCTGTGGCTGCACTTTCTCTGTTCTAACGAAGAATAACCAGGACCAGAAGCTGCTGCTGGCCTTCTACTGCTCCTCAGTGGAGAGTGTGCCCTCCTCCTGCCTGGGTGTTCGGTACCCAGGAGCCACTACTGAGAACAGGAAGGCTGCACAGAGGGTTATTAACACCGTTCAAAAAATCATTGGCTGCCCTCTGCCACCCCTGCAGGCCATCGCCAGCTCCTCCTGTCTCAGGTAAACCAGGGCCATCACAGGTGTCTCTTCACACCCTGCCGGTTTCACGCTGCCCTCTGTTCACAGGTTCCCCATCAGATTCACTAACAGCTTCTTCCCCTTGGCCATTCAGACGGTTAGCAAACACTATCCCCCCACACCCCACCCACAAATATGAACCATGGTCTGAGTAACCCCCATCACTCAGGTCACTCACACACAGGCTCTATTCAGACAAAGTTTTTTGCACTACTTTCAAGCACTTTGTTCTCTAATGTGTGCCTTTCTATTGTTCTGTAAATATTCCTCATGTCCACTATTTCTATTTTATTCCCGCACAGTTGGTGTGGAGCACCCATAATTTCGTTATACATGTACAATGATAATAAATAATAATAATAATAATACATTTTATTTATAGGCGCCTTTCAGACCCTCAAGGTCACCTTACAAGAACACGTGAACAATAGCATAAAAAACATTTTTAAAAAAATTATGTATATATATTAAACATGGTAAAATAAAATTTAGACATAAACAGTCATAAAAGTATAAAGACAAGTATAAAAACTGAGCAAGGTAAAAATGGACTAAGACAGATCAGGTGTATGCAATTCTAAATAGATGAGTTTTGATACGTGATTTAAAAGTGAGACAGTGTGTGGTCCGGAGAACAAGTGGAAGTGCATTCCAAAGTCTCGGGGCAGAACAACTAAAGGCTCTGAGTCCAATGTTAGTCAGGCGAGCAGGTGGAAGAGACAGAAGGGAAGCTGAAGAAGAGCGGAGTGTACAAAGGGATAAGTATGTATGGAGAAGATCGGATAGATATGGAGGAGCAAAGTTATGAAGCGCTTTGAAAGTGAGAAGCAGGATCTTGAAATTGACCCAGAGGTGAACTGGAAGCCAATGGAGCTGTTTAAGAACAGGTGTTATATGTTCAGTGTATCTAGTTCTGGAAATAATACGAGCAGCTGTATTTTGAACTAACTGCAATTTATGGAGGGATTTGTGAGGTAGACCATAGAGAAGAGAATTACAGTAATCTAAACGAGATGTGACAAGAGCATTGACAAGCATGGCGGTACTGTTTGGAGTGAGTGAGGGAGGAAGACGGTTAATATTACGGAGATGAAAGTAGGAAGACTGAGTGATATTATTTATATGTGCTGTGAAGGACAGAGTGCTATCGAGGATGACACCAAAACTCTTAACCTGAGGGGAGGGTGTGACATCAGAGTTATCAATGGATACCGAAAGACTGGTTGGAACTGTAGTCAGTTTTGATCTGGTGCCTATTAAAATGAATTCTGTTTTATTGCCATTAAGTTTAAGAAAGTTGTGAGTAAACCAGACCTTGATTTCACTTAAACAGTCAGAAATGGATGTGGGTGGGCGAGTAGCTGTGGGTTTGGAGGATAGGTAGAGCTGGGTGTCATCTGTGTAGCAGTGAGACTGGATGTTATGCTTCCTAAAAATATTACCTAGAGGTAGGAGATAGATGATAAAAAGTAAAGGACCCAGGACAGAGCCTTGGGGTACACTGGAATTAACTGGAGTAGATAATGATTTGTGAGTGAGTAATTGAACAAACTGTGAGCGGCCAGAGAGATAAGAGGTAAACCAGGCAAGTACTGTACCACTGATGCCAACAGATGCTAATCTGTGAAGGAGGATGCGGTGGGAGATAGTATCAAAAGCTGCTATGAGGTCAAGGAGAATGAGGATGGAGATAAGTCCTGAGTCAGCTGCAAGCAGAAGATCATTGGTGATTTTTACTAGAGCTGTTTCTGTACTGTGACATGAATGGAAGCCGGACTGAAACTGTTCGTACAAGTTATTTTCAGTGAGATGACAATGAACCTGTGCAGCCACTATCTAGAATAAAGGGCTATTCTATTCTATTCTATTCTATTCTATTCTATTCTATTCTATTCAGACACCTAGAATTCTGACTTTATTTCCTAGATTTCTTATGTATTTTTCTGAAAATCCTACAAATATATGATTTTGTTGTGAGATGTTTAACTATTAACTCTCACACGCATTTGAAACATTTTAACTTTAATTAAAGTTTTCAATCTGAAAATTTCCACTGCTTGGTGAAAATACTGAGCTTAAACCCATGTAAACATTCCTCAGAACCACCAGTTCAAAGGTTAAAGGTTAACCCGGGATCTGGTTTCACTTTTTAAAGTCTTTTAAAAACTGTTAGAAAAAGCAAATTCAGTAACTGAAGAAATGTGAACTTTTCGTGGTTTCAACCACTTTTTTCAGACGGTCACTGTGGAAACAAAGTTCAACTCTTCAGTCCACCTTAAAAACTCAGAAAGCCGTCCCTCTGCAGGCTGTTGAGGAATTAATGAACAGCTTCCTGTGTGTGTCACAATGTTTTATTACACGCCTTTTAGAGTGTATTACTGTGTTAGTGTGTGTGGCTGAGTCACACTGTTTTATTACATGTGTGTATTAAAGAGTGTGTTACTGTGTGTGTGTGTGCACGCGCCTGTGTTTGGAGGCACAAAGGGCTCTCTGAAGGTTTTCCTCGGACTAAAATATTTGGTTTTCTTGAAACAAATCTGGGTCGTCTTCCAGGAAGGAGGTGGTGGTGGAGGAAGAAACACTGCACACTGCACACACAGTTTTTACAGGAAACATTTGATTTAATTTCTCAGGAAAAAGTTCAGTCCAACTTTATTTGATCAGGATTTAAAGGGATAGTGCATTGCTTCATCACAGTAACTTATTCTGTTCACTTCCAGCTGACAGACCAGCTCAGCATGACTCACATTTCACAGTAATCCTTCTGTCTCTGATCCTGGGCCTCAGTAACAATGAGTGAAGCATGAAGCAGAGCAGGTGAGGATGCTCCTGTATGCTGATGATTCAGCTCCATGAAGAAACGTCATCCTGTCACTTTACACACTTCAGAACAAACTCAGGATTTAAATCTCTTTACATTTCTGCTCTTTCTGTCAGACTTTCTGCTTCAACATTTGAAATGAAGTCTCTCAGAATCCAGACTTTTTATCTTCAAACATAATCTAATCTCAGACTGAACTTTAATCCCAAACCTTCGACAGGTTATGTTGCTTCAACAGGATTTTACTGTCATGAGTTGATATTTATGCCACAAATTTACTCTTTTTGTTTCATATTGTTGACTTTCTACAAAGCATTCATCTAAAGATGTGTTCTCTGGATATAAAGTTTAATAAAAGGATTCTAGCATCACACATCAGTTTTATGTAAAAAGTTTAAAACCCCACAGACACAAGCAATAAAGGCACATTTTAGTCTTGGGCTGCTTCAGTTTGTTCTAAATTTGATTTTTCTGATTTATATCCTGAAAACACTTCAAAACTTGAACATAAGTGTAAAAATGTATATTTTTCCCTAATATTATATTTCAGATTTCAGTCTTTTTCTTCATTTGAAATGCGTCTCTCTGCATTACGAAGAAACGTTCAGAACGTCCTCCAGGACCGCTGAATGGATGCCAGCGCTCTGCAGACTCTGCAGTAGCCTCTCCACTGTCGCTCGCTTCCCTTCAGCCCGCCTCCACCGCACCAGCCCAGCGAGCGCCGCCGCCTGAGAACTGAGGCTGTGATCGGACCGGCATCGAAACAACACCTCTGCCGACAGACCCAGATCCAATAGCACCGATTCCCACTCGGCACCGAGCTGCAACGCCAGCTGGGACAACTCTCGATCTGAGGGAACCCGCTGTAGAACCGATTCTTGGAGCCGACAGGCGTCTGCAGACAGACGGAGAACAGGAAGGTCAAAGGAAATAAACTTTCACCTATATAAAAAAAAAAATCATTGTTTACCTTTTTTTATTATCATAATGTCATTATCATCTTAGAACTAGAACCTCAGTTCTAATTTCAGATTCTGGATTTAATCCTGACTTTTATTTCTATTTCACAGTTTTTGTCATTTTTATTTCAAAATGTGGATTTTAATCAACTTTGAGTTCAAATTTCTAACAATAACATGAACAATAACACTTCTTTGAAAAAAAGTTTCTTTGACATTCAGTTTAAAACTTTTTTTAGACTTCTCCCGAAAACCAAAACTGTCACAAAAAAAAAAAATAAAAAAAATCATGTTTAACCTCAGAATATGTACTGACAAAAAACAAAAAACACTTTTCAATGTAATCTTAATTCGTTGATTTTGGACTTAATGACTTATTTTCGATATAATTATTTCTTGTACACATCAACATATATATTCAGTTTTGTTGTTTTATAGGGAAAATTCAGATGTATCAAAAACTCAAAACTGTAAATGAACTAATACAATGAATTTATTTTCTAAATAACACAAAATATGACTTATTTTTATTTGCTTAGACAAAGACTTTATTCAGGTTTAACTGAAGATTTTTTTTAAATAGAATTTCTAATAATTACTTTTCAATTTATTCTTAGACTACATGTTTATTTTAATTTTAAAATTCTGAAATTCTCTTTAAACTAATTATTGAATTTGGAGTTTGTCATTCTGAAATATCACAAATTCACTTATTTCAAATCTGGACTAAATTTTCACATTTCAAAAAGAAAAAAAAGCAGACTTTGATCGACTGATTTATATTTGCCCTCTTCAGGTTTATTTCATAATATCAAATTCATCTAACAGATTTCCAGTTTAAATTGTTTTAAATCTGAACATTGCTTTGGTTTGTAAACATCTTATTTTAAATGTTATCTCCAAATGTTTGAATGTTTGGTTTGTATTGTCAGGATTGTGATGTTTTCAACTTAACACCCTCATAAGGACAAACAGAAGTGAATGGCTGTTTGGATTGGGCAACTCCGAGCCCGTTGGTGCTCTGCAGGGTGCCGTTTGTTTGTAACCTCAGCTGGTTGAGCAATTCGAACTTTCCGGGGGTTGAACAAACAGTGAAGCGTGGTTACTGTGACCTCACAGGAAAACATGACGCCAACAGCTCATAGTATTTTTTCTGTTGTTGTTGATGCTGCCGTCCAATGAATGAAGACCAAACGGCACAGCCCTCCCACCACCGCCTGCCTACGTTAAAATACTGAGAACTGAAGTTACAGCAAAAACCAGTGACAGCAGAACAAATAAAGTTTATTCAAACGGCCAGAACACAAACAAGTGTAGAATGTTTTTGCCTTTTTCTGCTTCAAATGCTGACATCACTGAATCCATGCACGGCAGGCGTGAGCCCACCAAAATCTATTTTTAAAAAAACTGTAATTTACATGACCTTTAAAATCCAAGCTTGTTTGCTGCTGCTGTAACCTCCTAGGACCTGGCGTCCACATATGTGGACATCACATTTTGGGTTGTCTAGACCAAAATACAAAGTTTTGCTCTACAAGGGCCTGATATCCACTTACGAGGACATTATACTGCCTCTGTTCTATCGAAAATCTAAACGAATACCCTCATATGTGGCTCTAATTTTTCTCAGAAACAAAAATTAGGTAAAAAAAAAAAAAAAATCAAAAATCTGGTAATTCTTTGTTTTTACATTCATCGGGTCCCGATCAGCCCAAGCATCAAAGAGAAATTAAAAATGCATGCCATGGAAGAGTGCTCTGCAGGTGTGAGAGGGCTTCTCTGCTGCCGCTGATCAGACCAACCCCACACCAGGTAACTAGTGATGGCCAAACTCTGACCGTCTGAGGGGTAGTGAGACGACTCAGACGCCTACAGATCAAAAATAGAACATCTGCTGGCATCCGTCTGTCCGTCTGATCACTTCATTAATCACTGAAAGAGCTTCATTTTGTCCAAAACACAGTTTACCGTCAGCTGTGACAATGATGGAGTATCAAATCCACAAACGTTGGGTTAGGTGGATAACTGTTGATCACATTATTGTATTAATAAATGACTGCTGTTGATTTTTACTCAGCATCTGATGGAAGCTGCAGATTATTTGTTTCATTAACTTTAAACTGAAAGCATCCACAGTCCCGTGATGAAGATGTGCTTCAGGTTAGACTGAAGGAAGAGGACAGTCTTCCTCTCGGGCTTTAATCAAAGTCAGGAGACTCGTTAAGACCAATGCTCCGTGTTCAGACTTCCAGCTCACAGGATGACTTCAACCTACAGGAAGTCCTGCACGATTCATTTGGATTCATTTTATAAATAAAAATCCACATTTTCAAATTAAAGTCAAAATAAATTTAAAATTCCAACCTTGTGTGTCTGAAGTTTACAATTTCTGGATTAAAAGTGACAAAGTTGTGAATTTTATGAATCCAAGTTATGAGATGAGTGTGAACTATACAAATCTAAGATTTGGATTTGAGGATTGAGCAAACAGAGAGAAAGTTACATTTAACACTAAAAAGTCTGAGTCTTTACATTTTAGTTCAGATTAGGACAGAGATGACAGGATTAGACGGTCAGGATTCTGCATCAATACTTTGTCAGCACGACGTGGGACTTTCCTGGAAAAAACAATCAAAATCAGGGACTCCGAGAACGGCTGCAGCAGGAAAATTCTGGGAAACTAAACTCAGACAAAAATAAAACGAGGGGATTTTGAGAGGCTGAAAACCCACCACTCAGAGGAGGAGGAAGAGTTTGTTTTCCTGCCCAGGCCTCCCTCGTCCACCTCCTCCTTTTATTACCTCCCTCTTGGTTTCCAGGAACCTGGCAGCAGCTTCCCAGCCAGATGTTTGGGATCACATTCACATGATGCTGATTCTGCATAATCCCAAACCTCCTTGGAGCAGATCAGTCTCCTCCCATTTTTCTAAGTGGGGAATTTGTTCTGCCGAACACTTCTGATTTTGATAAATGTTAAATAGTGTATTATATTTCTACATACATTTTTTGTGGGGTTTTTAGGCTTGTAAATGGTAAATGGCCTGTATTTGTATAGGGCCCTAAGGGCCCCAAAGCGCTTTACATATCCAGTCATCCACCCATTCACACACACATTCACACACTGGTGATGGCAAGCTACAGTGTAGCCACAGCCAACCTGGGGCACACTGACAGAGGCGAGGCTGCCGAACACTGGTGCCACCGTGCCCTCTGACCACCACCAGTAGGCAACGGGTGAAGTGTCTTGCCCAAGGACACAACGACCGAGACTATCCAAGCCGGGGCTCGAACCGGCAACCTTCCGATTACAAGACGAACTCCCAACTCTTGAGCCACGATCGCCCCAGTAAATCATCAGTGTGATTTCCCCCCTAAAAATAAATGGCACTATCCATTTTTAAGCAATTAAAAAAGCCAAATGCAGCAAATGTGATACAAATTAAAAGTCATATAAGAAAACTGAAATGTAATTTATGTTTTAAATAAATTTGTCACATGGTTCAATAAACTGTCGATTTTCAAAAATTAGAATTTTCTGGAAATTATTTCATGGTTCAGTCCTCAAATCAGACAAGGTTTGGTTGAACTAAATGTGACCCACTCACAGTGGTCAGAGTCTTTGATGTAGTCCACGTTACAGAGGTCCAAGAGAAGTGGTCTTACATTTGGACCTGGTCACACTGGATGTAGTCTCCTCAGACAAACATCAGTGACCTCTGACCCTCATCTGATCCTAAAACAAAGGACCCAGAGGCTGATCTGTGTCCTGGATCTGGTCTGGCTAAAGTACCTGTGCCTCATGTTTCTGCCAACAAGACTTCCGGGTTTATGTAGAGAGGTATGATTCCCCCGCACCCTGATTGGTTTTACCTTTGGGTCCGGGTTCAGGTGGGGTCTGGAGCTCCTGCAGCAGTCGGTCCCGGACCCAACTGAAATCCTGCAGGGACCGCAGGAAGGATTGGAAGGCCCGGGGCCCGCGGCTCGGCAGGAGGTCCAGGAGCCGGAGGGTCTTCTGTCTCTCCGTGGATCGGGACTCGATGTCCTCCACCTGCGCGTCCGTTAAAATCTCCTCCTGGTACAGAAACGGAACGATGGTTTCGCTGACCAGAAGCTGGCCGGACAGCTCCAGCCGGTGTTTTCGGAGGACGGCTCTGTGCACCGGGTCCATTTCACCGAAGCTCATAAAAATAAGCAGTTCCACATCATTAAACTAGTCCTTTGTGTCAGCTGTACAACTACCTTTCAACTGCTCTGTTTTTGTGCTCGGGTGGAAACAAGCAGGCGGAACCAAAGTCTTTGCTAATCACGTTGCGTTCACATTTTTTTTATGGGAATACAATCTAAAATTTGCTTAGATTGGTGGTTAATATGGGATCTATTTGCGTGGAAGGATTGGTTAGTCGTTGATCTTAAATTCGGCGTGCGTTTATACCCCGGATAAAATTAACTTTGAGGGAAAACAGATTTTATGCAGATTGGTTCTGATAAGATGATTTCTGGTGACGTAAATGTACGCCGAAGTTCGGTAAGAAGCCTCGCAGAGCGTTCCACTTTACTGATAAATATTCTTCATTAATAAATCCACGAGGAAACCTCAAAAACAAAGTATTGAATTAGGTTCAGCGTACCATAGCATCGAGCAACGTTACCTAACACACAGCATTAGCTAAAAACCAAGGGTAATTTTATAGATACAAGATATATTTTATTAATAAAAAAAGAAAATAACGTTTATAAAATATCTGCCGAATTCATTAAAAAGCCACAATCTGACCAAAGAAGTTAATATATTTGTTATATATCAGATACTTACATTTAGGAATTCAAAATAAAATTCCCCAAACTGAAAGATTTTCCATGGAGTTCACAAAACCTCGTGTCACATTGTCCTTTATTACAAGATTTTATTTTCAAAGACCAATTTACAGTTAACTGAATCTGTTTTTGACATTGTTATTGATAATATGTGATTCATATGTTTATTTGTGAGAAAAATAATTTATACATAGCCACCAAATGAAAAACAGTACACTGAGACAAATTCATAAAGCTGACTACTGCACAATGTTCTCATTTGCACATTTAAAAATGTGGGGAAAAGAATCTAAATTTTTACATCTTTAATTTAAAGCACCAGGAAGTTTAATCATGAACATTTGTTATTTCTACAAATCTAGAAAATGAATGGAATAACTTGCAGCAGTTCTTGCTAGAAGAACTTAAACAACAAATATGACCAGTCTATAAACACGTTTCAGGTTTCCTGGCACACTCAGGCTTCTATAAAGAATGGGCCTTCATAAACTAACCAGAGAAACAAAATTTAACAGAGAGATTTTATTAGCATCATTTGTTTCTTTGTATTATGTTTTTATTAAAAAAAAATAAATCTGATTATTAATGAAGATATTCAGCTTTTTCCTTTCAATAAATGATAAAAAAAACCCCCAACCATTCATTACACACATACCTGGGCTTCCATAGTTTTGTCCTGTGGGTGTGAATCAATAACAGCATGAAGTATAAGCAGCAGTGAGACATTATTGATGAGGCACCATATAAAATTTATTGATCTCCTGGTAGGAGCTGATCAGTTCATCGTTTACATGCTTCAGAAACATACCAGAAATACAGACACGATTAATTATATACTTCATCAGATCACAGGGGCTGCGATATGTACAAGAACGCGCACACGCCCTGCCTGCTTGGTGCATCCATGCTTAATTCAGCTGCTCTTTGTCATCTTCATCATGGAACTGGTCAGATATCAAGGCTGAAGCACAAACAAACACCCTGATTGGCCCTCCTTATACACACATCACAGGACACACCCTGTTTACCTGAGCAGCTACATGACCAATCAGCTCTGCCCCTTCTTCTTGGCCGATGCTGAGCTGTGATTGGATGTTTGAAAATGATTTTAAAGAAAGGTGACAGAGCGTGAGCATGCAGCGTCGACGCCCTGTACCCGATCAGGGACAACTTGACAAAAACATAACATGGTCACTTGTGTAACCTTCATTTCTACGGTAACAAACAGGTTGAATCCATGGCTAAATGTTTTTTTTTTCATTAAATTAAGTGCTTGCATGTCTGTTGGATTAATGAGGCAACCACAAGATTCCACAGGCCCCCCCAAAAAACATGCAATTTTTGAATGAAGTTTGGTTAAATGTGCTCCAGAGACTCAGCATTAACCATCAACACTGGTGGGTGAATATGAATCCTAAAAACAAAAGCTTTTTAATGAGGCTTGGTCAGGGTTTGTTAAACATGTTTGTGAAATGTGGTGGTTCAGCGGGTTTTGTTTTGTTTGGAGACATATTTGAGACTAAGACCATTTAATCCAAATCACACCCACTTGCACCACATTTCTGGGGATTTTTCTTTTACATTGGGGGTAAAACAAGAACTTTTTGTAAGCAGGAAAAACCCTGATGATTATGATGACGACAACAACAAAGATGGTGCTGAATTTATCGGGACTAATTACTAACACCAGCAGGATGTATTTAGATTTTTGAATTGAGTTTGGCTGAATTGTAGTTAAAGGTTCCTTCCTGAGTAAGGGCTCGAAGCTAGAGATATGGTGTCAGTGAGACTTCCTGGTAAAATAAAATAAAGATATAAACATATTTTTTTACCAGGTCTCAGTGTCTGTGCTGAATTTAGGAGACCATGATACTGGTAATAAAAACGTAGGATATTTAAATTGAGTTTGGTTGGAAGGTCTTCACACAGCCTGAAGCTGGTTCATTGGTGCAGACTGAGGTTATTTGATGAATTGAGCTTTGAAAGTGTGCCTTTCCGTCTCCTTGCTACAGAAATAACAGGTCCTGCACCTTTACAGCTCTGAGCCAATCACAGTTTAAGAAAACTGAGTATTTACTACATGCAGGTACAAAGTCTGAGGAGCTTGTTTTGATTCTGAACGTCCACGAGGACACCTCGACTCTCCGCCTCACCAGCGTTCACTGTCACAGGCTGTCTGTCGGCCAATCAGAAGGCTCTGTTTACTTGTGTTTACAGGTGGGACTGGCAAGCTCTGACTGGTGGAGAAAAATGGAAAATTATTCTATTTCCTGATTTTTGTTTTCCTTCTGTTAATTATTTCCACAGAAATCCTCGCAGAAACTTTCCAACATGAAGAGGCCGAATAATCAATCAAAAGATCAATTAGAAAATCAATCTGGAACCGCTATTTGGTCTAAACATATTTTTTTCTTTTTTTCACTGATCAAATAATCAATAACTTAATGGGAACAATAATTACTAACTTGATCAATAATAAACATTTAAAAATGTGAAAAAAAGGTTAATCAATAATCGATTAATATTCATGTTTCAACACTTAAATTACTGTGACCAGGTTGAAAGAGGTTACATATGGAGGACCAACATGGCCAAAACTCTGCACGAAATTATTAAAAACACACAAAATAATGAAGTTATAAGATGGGACATATTTCAGTATTTGTATTAACACCTCTATTAGTTTTATTTACAATTTTTGAATTTATTTAAAAATATTTTAAATAAAAATATAAATATTTTAGTTTTGTTTCTGTTCTTTTTTGCTTTTGTATTTCCCTCCATATTTATTTACTTTAAGTAAAGTCATACAAATAAAAAAAGCAAAGAAAACATTAAAGAAATAAAAACAAATATTAAAAGTTTAAAGTTATTTATTTTGTTTAGTGAAGTCATTTCAGTCCTCGTCTTTTAAAAGCATACTTTCTGATTGGCCAGCTTCTGGACACCCACTGTTTACTTTAGATTTGAAATAAAGAGAAAAGCTAGTAACCCATGAACCCACAATTTGCTGTTTACGTTCTTCTGACACCAAACTCCATTCAAAAAAAAAAAAGTCATTTTAAGTAGGCCTGCTGCTACAATTTGTTGTTATAATTGATCATGTTGACTAAGATGCATCCTATAGAAAAACCACATGAATGCACTTGTAATAGCAATACACTACAGGAAGCTAAGGGGGCAGCATTGCCTCTATCACCTGGCAAGACTGCACTCACTACTAACGAAGAAGAACATTGTGTGAACGGCAAAAGTGGATGACAGAAGTAAACTGAAAGGGAGATTAAATTAAAAAAAAAAAAAAAAAAAAAAAAGTGAAAGTATTTTACAAAAATTAAACAGTTAAACCAGACCGTGCTAAACGGAGCTTTCCTTCCACGACTGCAGTGCATGAGCATTTCAAACGCTGTCACCCTAGAGCTGTTACATCAGCTCTGATGAGTCCGTTATTGAGAGCTAAGTCAGTGCGTCACATTGATACCTTGTTCATGTTCGTACAGTAATGTTTATTTTAGCTTACCTGTTAGAAACCTCTCAGGATGCTTGATAAGCATTTCAGTTTTGCTAGCCAATGACTGAAATCCAATAGCAAACCAGTACATTTCTGAAAAGAGGCTGATGCACCTCTCAAATTGCTGAAATCATGACAGAGAGCATCTTCAGCATGTTTATCAGCAGCTGGGAACATCTCAAAGACAAGTGTGAGCTTTCCTCCAGAGCATGTCTACTGCAGTTGTGAATTCATGAACTGAATCATCTGTAAACTTCGGAAACTTGTTATTTTGAACCTGAACAAAAAAAAATATATATATATTTTTTTAATTCAAAGCTTTATTTGAGTTTATGGACACTTTTCTGTTTAAAGTAGCATTTTAATTTATGTTCCTTGATATTTTATTGACTTACTTTTATTCTGACCGTGCTATTGAGTAATGCTAGAGATACATTTGATTATTTTCAAATTCACACGTTTCCTGGGTAATTATTTGAATTTGCTGTGGAATGAGACAACAGGGTGACAGTCACAGGTGGGCAGACCAGAGAAGGTGAGGTCCTGGAGCCTAGAACAGGAAGTTTGCCCACAGGGACAAGAGTTACTGAAATAATCGTTGACTAATTGAAGAAAAATTGACAGATTAGTCAACTACCAATCTTTAGTTGCAGCTGTAATTTAAAGGGAATGTTTTCCAAACCTGTGCAAATCTGTGATTCATCAGCAGAGCAAACCTGAAAACTAAAAGAAATATTTTTATTGTTTTCATGAAGGTAAATACAATATTCTGGTTTTTATTTATAAAATTAACTTGGGGGCAGCCCGATAGCACCACTTTCCCCCTCTGCATCACTCAAAGTGTCAACAAGCAAAATTAATAACAAAGCTTTTTAAATAATGGTATTTGTAATATGACGTTTCATAGAACCATGGTAACATCAGTGACCACATCAGTAACCACTGTAAACATTAATACCTTAAGATACTTCAGATTTATCTGGTCCATTTTAAAAATCAGCATATGGATTCAGGGGAAAATGGATGTTCTGAAAAGTGATGATCTGGTAAAGGTGAGGGGACGACGAGGTGTCAAGTCACCACAGAGCAGAGAGGTAGCTGTGGTCAGGAGGGGTCATGTGACACGGCGTTTCCATCAGACCTTTCCCCTCTGACTCCAGCGTGATTGGCTGCAGACTCAGAGCACATCGACACTGCAGCTTATTGCGTGACCCTGTAGAGCAGCACACGATTGGATCAGTCAGTGGTAAGATGACATCAGTCCTTACACATTGTAGACGTATTCCGTCAGGTAGTCCTTTAGTCTGTTGGGCAGCGGCAAATCCTGAACCTGCCGTGTCCTTTGGTTGATGGTGATGCGACAGAGGTGCTGCAGGGATGGCGTGGAGGTGTACACGGGTTTGGTGAGTAGCAGCTGCACTGTGCCATTAGGCGGCACCGGAGAGACCCGAGAATTTGACGCCGACGCCGCCTTGTCGCTGCTCCTGGACAGCTGGACGTAGTACTCGACCAGGTGGACCACACTCTTGAACTGCTTCAGCTTGGGCTTCACCAGGACCACCGAGTCCAGCTTGAACTTGCCGTGTTTGAACTCGATCCGCAGGTTGGTGGGACCTGCTGACGTCATGGCGGAGATGGTGAAGAGGTAATCTCTCTGAGAGCTGTCCCGCAGCAGGAAGGTGCCTTCGGAGGTGTCCTGCAGGATCTCTTTGGCTTCATTAGCCGTCAGACTGCCCCAGTACCAACCTGACAGTAAGCAAAAGATGAACTTCAGAATAACCCTTTATCCCAGCTCATCCTCTCTCTGAAACCACCCGTTTTAACCCGTCTCATTAAAAGCTCAGTTTGTTCTGATTAGCCAACTTTTGGAAGCCTGCTCAGGGGCAGCACCCAGTGACCGAGCTGTCTGTATGTGTCAGTGTTTGGAGATCACCAACCCCTCCCACTGTCCTGCTGAGACCATATCTTAATCTGAAACCACGCCCCCAGTCTCCCTTGCTGTTCCAACAATAAATAATTACTCAAAGTCTTGGTTGGAAACAGGACTTCAGAAACCAACATGTGACGTCACTGTTGCTCACCGCACCTTTATACTAGCTATTAATGGGAACTTAACAGGTTAAAACCACAAAATGACCAAACTAACCAACCAATCAGGATGGCTGCAAAAGAGCAGCTCCCGTTTGTTTCACAGTAAAATGTTTTTGTGAATCTGCCTGGTGGAAAGTAATGGCGCCACCTAGACACACACTGATTCTTTCAGGTGTGTGAAACATACAGTGCACACCTTTCACTGTTCCCCTGTCTGTCACTGAATGCAGCAGCTGTGGTGCGAAACGGCCCAAACCAGCCAAGGAGACCTTTAGAGACGGCAGTGCTGCTCATGTTATGAGCTGAGAATGAAATCAATCAGCTGATTTGTGGCGGCTGGGTACCTGAAGACTCGCTGCAACGTCTCTGGAGCTGTTAACCATCATGCTTTAAAGAAAAATCTGCTGTGTTTGTGATTTTTCAGCCTCCTGAACAGGACTATTTGATGCACTAAGGTGAGCCTTTTTAGTTTTGGATGTGCCCCCCCCTAAATCTGCCAAAATAAAAAAATAAAAAACAAGAGGATGGAAACTCCACCTGCTGGGCTTTGGTTTCCAGCTGTTCTCCTCTGGATGGAGACTGTGGAGGCGTAAATCTTTCCTACCCGTGTTTCTGAGCTCCTTCATGGCAGCGGCAATGCGGCTCTCGTCAGATTCCACAGCGGCGGTATTGTTGTCGGCTCGTCTGTCACTCTCGATGGTTTCCGTGGACTCTGAGGACTGGCAAGTCATTGGATAAATCCGACCTTCAGGCCCACAGCTGAGACATGGACAAAGTCTACAGGGCGCAACTGCTCACACCACAGTGTCAAAGTCCTGGAAGTTCAGGAGAAAAACCAGTGAAGAAGAAAAATCTGACATGAGGCTTGCACACCAGGCTCCACTCAAAAAAAGTTGATCCAAAAATACTTTAGAGCCTGAATGAAGTCTGAAAACATTTTTAACCAGAAACTCAAGAGAAAGTTTTATTTCTCAACATTTCAGCGTTTTTTACGTTCAAGTGAGTCGGTAAATAAAGGAGCTTTATCTTTAAGACAATATTACTCATAAAGACAGATCAGACAGAGGCAGATTTATGTTTCACTAAATCAATCAGCTGACTGTAAAACACGAGATTGACTCATCACCTCTAAATAAATAAATTCAGCACTAAAACAAACAGGTATACTGTCTCTCTCATACCAAACCCCAGTCAAAAAAAGTGCAGATTTAAGACCAAACTGATTGAAAGTTTAAAAAACTGTTGGGTGTCAGATTTGTAGATTTTTGGGGGGAGGAGACTGAATGTTTTTGAACAAACCTGACATCTGAACTCTGCAGAGGCATTTTTGTCCAAACTGAGAGAAATTAGTAAAAAAAAAAAAAAAAGAAAAAAGCCAAAATCACATTTTCCTGGATCTTTGTTATTATTTAAAAAAATTTAAGTTCATATGAGACAATAAGAAAGGAATTTCAACTTTAAACCTTAACCATAATCACAAACACACATCAGCTAAAAACAAAAAGCGAAGAAACTTTAAGGTCAAAAATGCCAAAAGACTGATGATGTGAAACGAAACAAAAAAAAAAAAAAGGTACATAGTGTCTATCAAAGAGTATTGTTTATTTCTTCACTACAGGAAGATTTTCAATGGCTTTAACTGAGCAGTATTTTTTCCCTCTTACCAAATTCCAGTCAAAAAAGTCCACATTTATGACCACTGGTTAAAACTGCTTTGTGTGGCCTTTAAAAACAAAAAACCAAAAAAAAACCAACCAATATTCACCATAACTATCATTAAAGTGTTTTAAAGACTGGGGAGAAATAAAGCAATAATAAAAAGTTAAAACATTTTAGACTGGCACTCTGCCGAAGTCCCTTTAATGCTTTTATATTTGAGTAAATAGTGGAAATCATTCAGATGAGAAATGTGTTGAAGGGCTCGGTGTGTTACTCCTGTCCTCTGTTAGGTTAACTCTGTTATCTCACATTCCTGAGTGCTTATGCAACTTATCTCTGCAAAGACAAACCTCCAAACATCTTTCAGAGACCAGCTTCTTTATTCTGTGCAGCAGATATAGTGGCAGTTTTAAATTAACTCAGGTGGAAGGTGAAATCTTATTAACTAAACTAATAGAGTAAAGAGACACCTTAAGTTCCTCGTCTGTCCATCATGAAACAAATGCTGTTTGACTGCTTTGTGTTTAAACAAAGAAAGTATGTGAATGTTTCAGCACATAACAGCAGACTGAAGTTAGATTAATTCATTTTTCCACCTTAAAAAGCAGTCAGGTGAGGTGGTTCTTGTTCAAAGTGGACTTTGGGGGACAGGCCACATGTTTACATTCCAGGCAGCCTTAAAGCAGCTGAATTTCTCACAGAATTTGGTGAGAGATCTCCATTTCCCCCCGTGGAATAACCTGCATAGTATTCAGGCCAGCAGGGCAAACACAAGAAGAAACGGAATAAATACAGGCTGCTTGTTCCTGTGTGCACAAATCAGTACTGCACTCTGATGTCTTGTTGTCTACAACAGTGGCTTCCGTGAAGAATGAGAATTACAAGAATTTTAACTGAATTTGGAAAAACTGGGCTATTTGGAAAAAGCAAACTAAGCATACAGTTTAAAACCTGCTGTGAGGTTTTATGTCTGACTGCAGAGGACAAAGGACGCAAAAATCACTGTTTTTATAAGCGACTTTGCACTCTGACCTCGGAAACAAATTAAGGCGATTTTACAATAGAATTTGTTAAAAAAAATTCTGCACGTATAGCTGCTAATAATAATAAAAAATATTTGGTGTAACCGAGGAACAGGCTGTCAGGAAAGAACAAATATTCTGGGTTTTTTTTTATTTTTTTATTTATTTTTTTTACGCCGAGGTCATGAAGAAATATTACAGTGGCTTCGAGTTTAAATTCTATTTGGCGAAACAGCAGTGAGTAGTGCAAAATTAATTTATTTTATTACAATTAAAATTGAACGCTGATGTAACTTTGTGGACGGAATAGAAAGGAGAGCTGTGTAAAGCAGGACACATAAATCCGCTTGTTTTTATTCAAATCTACACAGCTTTGGGCACGGGGATAAATTTGGAAGAATTTTAGTATTTATTTATTTATTGTCATTGTCAAGAACAATGAAATTGCGTTTGGGGCTTCCATACAACCCAAAAAAAAGAATAAATACCCCTTAAATAATAAATACCCCTTAAATAATAAATACCCCTTAAAAAAAAAAAATTGAGTAGAATTTGGTATAACATGAACAGTTCTTCAACGATGATTTAAAAAAAGCCCTTCCTAAAGCAAAACCTGGACGGGGAGTTATTGTGTGCCGAACTGAAGAATGGGCTGTAAAAATAGCGGGAAAATTAGATTATTACGTTTTAATCAGATGAGAACACCGAGAAGCTTATTCTAAATGTGAACGCAATTCGACAGGCAGTAGAAGGGCTCCCATTATTCTGGGTAAAATAATCGAACTTGGGAGCACAGGTCAGTGCAGAAGGCTCTGTGCAGTCTGGAGCGTATTATCGGCGTGTTACTTGTCTATTTGGGTGCGTGTTTACCCACCTGGTTTGAGTTTTGGTGACATGTTGGTGATAAAAACAAGCACACGCACCTGACTGCTTTACGTCCTGCTAGCTGCTGTCTAGCTAAAAGTCACGGCGGGCTCAGCAGCGCTGCCGCCGATGTGTCCTCGGGGGGGCCCCGACATGTCCCCAGTAACACTTCTAATCCAAATCCCGAGAAACGCTCCGCTGCTGGAGGTTTTCCTTCTTTCTTGTCTTTCCCGATTTACAAATGGCGGGTTACAGTGCAGATAAACGGAGGTCCCTGCCGTCTCTCTGACACCCAGTCCCACCCGGGGAGCAACCTCGCACCGGCAGCTACCGGAGAGACCGAAAAGCACCGAGCGGGTAATCGAGCGTCCGAACGTCCGTCAGAGAGCTGGACACAACCGAGTCCAGCAGCTGCCTAAGAACCAATGTCACCATAAACACAAAGGCAGCATTTCCAGGAACTTTCCAGGAACACGGTCACGTGGTGCCACGATTTAAGGTGGACTGACGTATGCGGCTGTTGGTCCTCCTGTCTCTGTAAGGACCCACCTGGAGTCACTCACAGGCTCTCTCTCATTAAACTCAAACCAGGTGTTAATGCCCACACAGAAAACAAAGTGAAGATCACCCATGTTGCAGTGATGCATCTCTTAGTCTCAACTAGCGCCTCCTATATGTCACTGTATATAACACTGTTTAATAAATGATAGTTACCAATAGTGATGTGCGGATCGATCCTGAAATATCGATTCCTCCGATACCAATCATTTATGTTCTAGAATCGATTCTCACATTAAAATATCGATATTTTAGTAATTTAGAGTAAATTTGTAGTTCATCATAACAGGAACACAGTGGGAAGAAACTATAACATTCGGATTGTCTACATTCAGAAGAACTACTTCCTCTTCCGCCTTTCATAGTCATGTGCGAAATACAGCTGTATAAATGTCTGGCAGCCCCTTGGTGTGCGCACTCACAACAATGGCTGAGCCTAATTGTGCAGAAGTATTTTACCTCCACAAACAGCTGAGACGTGGTTTGCCATACATGTGGCAAAAAAAGTGCTCCAAGAGTGAGGTGTTGTGGCCATACTAGGGAGACATTCAAAGGGCTGCTGGGGGGGAGGAGAATACATTTTACATGGTTTATTTATCGGATAAAATACTTTAAATCTCACAGTTATTATTGGCCAGCCGGGAAACAGCGGGGTGTCTGTTTTGGAGGAAGGAAGTTTCAGGGTTTAATTAGTCATCATCATGGACTCATCCGATTAGAATGAGAATAAGCAGTCATCAATCATTTGCAGGTTTTGTCTTTTTAATTAGATAACGGGTAAAGGAAAGACACATGGACTGCTATCACTAAAAGGGACAAAGTATGATTTAAGTAACTCAAAATGATACATGAACTCAGGAGACTCAAAGAGAAACTCACCTCAGCTGCCGCCCGTGTGGGAGTGAAGAAAGAGTGAGGGAGTAGGTGAGTGCAGTTCTTATATAACGAGTGACAGGTGAGTGCAATTAAGGCCAAGCACCACCCCCAATCAAAGGTGAGGACAAGAAGTGCATCTGCCAGTAGGTGGCGGTAATGCACCTTTCAATTGTTTGCCAACCGCCAATATAACTGTAAGAAAGAAGAAGAAGAAAGTGCATCTGATGAAGTGAATGTGCTGAAAGGTGAGCCTTTACAACAGTGTCCAAATTCAGAGGCTGCTTCCACCTGAGGACCCGGTCTAAAGAAAGCCGGGTAGTACGTCACGAGCTGGAGTGAAACTGCCGTCTGCTCCTTGCTATCTAATACATAACCGGGCGCTGACGTAAACGCTTCTGTTTAATTATTTTCTGTTTGACGTTTATTCAGCTGTGTGAAAACCCCGGAGGAACCCTCCTGAGGGATCAATAAAGTTACATTTAATTTAATCTAATCTAATAACTTTAATCTCAGCCAAACCGATTTAGTCACGAACAAATAAAACACTGAAAAAGCCGAACAATAACATTTTTAAGTTATCAAAGTGACTATATCATGTTTAACCCGAGTAGCAAAAGACCGCGGGGGTTTGAAAACGATGTTTGGATCGGCTCAGATATTTGAAGTTTACACAGCTACATTCTCACATGAAAATATGTTAAAAGTTTTTTTGCGACCCAGAAAGCGAAATAAGAGTAATATTAAAACTAAGCAGCTGCCGCCATTGTTGGAAACTGGAATAGGCTGGGCTGCGCTATGAATTCTGCGATATGGTTTTTCAATTTTGTTGTCCGGCTGGAAAATCGGGAAAAATTCGGGAGAATGGTGGCTCCGGGAGATTTTCGGGAGGGGCACTGAAATTCGGGATTCTCCCGGAAAAATTGGGAGGGTTGGCATGTATGGTTGTGGCAACATCACTAACCTTGTCAAACACCTCAGAGTAAATCATATCACAGAATATGACGAGTGTATGTTGAGGTTGTTGTGATATTTTGATACCATGGTAGCATTTACAGGATATTGTTTTATAGTGATATTATACAGGAAAACTGTTACTCAATAAGGCCCATTTACTAGTTGTTTTTCTCTTTCTCTGTGACCCAAGAATTAATGTGTAAGAATCACAGGCTGGTACCAAGGTCGAAAATACCACAGAGATCACTTCCTTACTCCCATCCTCCCTTCTTTATCTCCTAGAAAAGAGCTTGTTAAAGGCCAGGTGGTTTGTTTCAGAATTCACTAATGAAAGAACTCTATATTCTATGTCTAGGAGTGTATTTTGCTGGGATAATCATAAATTGTAGCTGAACTGATAAACTATACAAAGGATACTTCTCTGCTCACAAGGCAGGAAGACGTTTCCTTATTTGGTCTGTACCGGTTTGAACTGAGAATCTGCTGACACACGAACCTTTTTCCTCTATATAAACTGTTGTCTGATGAATAAACCTTTGAGTTGATTTTGGGAAAGCAACCTGAAGCAGTCTGTGTTTCCTTGTTCTCCCAAGCTACTCCCGGCGCTGTAACTAACCCGCTGAACGGCATACCTGAGTGTTACTTTGAATAATTTTGAATCTTATAGGGTAAAGACAAAACTCTGCTTATAGGTGCCCACGCCTCGGAGGAAACCCGATCCACGGAGAAACCGGGGACCGAGATTTCCTTCAGAGGTGAACTGAAGAGGAGAGGGACAGGTGCTGCTAGGGCGAGACAGATGTCTCTCACGGAGTCCTTTAGTGCTGCAGGCAGGCAAGGTGTTCAAATAGCACAACTTCAGTTTTGTTATTTCTATATGATGAACTCTGCATTATTAAGTGATAAGAACAAGTAATCTGATGTCCTGTAATTATTATGACACTATAATTTGAGATACAATAAATAAAAATAAGTTTTTGTACAAAGTATCGGTATCGGATCAGTATTGTCGATACCACCCTGAATATTGCTTGGTATCGGATTGGAAAGAAAATCAGTGGTATCACACATCACTAGTTACCAAACCCGACATCCTCATTTTGAAGCTTAGCTCCCTTTACCTACTACTATAGTCTTTTTTTTATTTCCAGAAGCGAAACAAGTGCTATGTCATAATGCTAACTAACTTGGTAATCAGTCTGTATCCACAGATTATATGAGCCACATGTGAAATAAGCCTCAGTCCAATTTGAACAGTGAGATATAAAAATGCTGTAAGCATGTTTATTTCTGCTGTAATTTTGAGCATTTTAGCATGAGACTGATTCACTGCTGGCGCCCCTGCTGGACATCAAAGGAACTGCAGGCTTTAGTTCTTCAGCGTCTCGCATACGAAGTACCTTCGCTGCACAGTTTCCCGCTAAGTTGACGGTAGCCCCTGGCAGGTTCATTTGAACTTTGACCTCGGTGAGGTATGACGTCTATATCTCAGATTGACAGGTGCAAAACTTGTCGTAGTACAAGCAGAGCGCTGCAGCAAGTTCAACACAAACGTTGGGCTGTTCGCTCAACCAGCACTCGCCACTTCCTGTGTGATCAGCCTTCAGAAGTTGAGTAGCTGGGCAGCCCGATTAAGATAATGGAAGAACTATTGTCTGTTCTTGTTGTTTTTTTTTTTCTTGTTAAAGCAGAAACAAGAAGACAGACATCCATTAAGCAGATTAAGAGAAGTTCAGCCTTTCCAGGAGGAATTTCAAAGCGGGAAACTTCACAGAGAGTGATATGAACACCTTCTCTTCTCTGTTGGCCAGGCGGATCTTTTTAAATAGGACTCTTTCCCCCCAAGATTTGGCCACTGGATAAGAGAAGTCATGGGTCACGTTCATCTTGAAGATATCAGCTACACCATAACAGGATCTATTGGAAAATCCCGTGCTACCTGATAACATTCATATCCTTTGCTGAAAGCATGGCGGCTGGTATTATTAAAACATACTGTGATGCTATTATTGACCTATGTGACATAATTATAATTTATTTTTAAATATTACTGAGAAAACATGTTGATAATTCCTAACTATCTTTGCATGCTTAATAATCTGGTATTGTATTTATTTTGGTTCATATAGTCTGTATTGTGTTTTTTTCTCAAAACAAAATACAATAAAGACTTTGTTTGAAAACAAAGACTGTTTCTCGGGTTCTATTTGCCGTTTTTACTGGTTTCTGCTTCCACCTGCTGGTCCTTTGCAGCACCACAGTCACACAGATGCCCTCAGATCACATTCAGCAGCTTCTCTGCTTAAACCCTGAACATGATATTCACACTGCTCATCTTCCAGCCATTTAAATAACAATGTCTAATATGACTAGAAATCGTCTCCAAGCAACTTCAAATACATTGCCCCAGTTTATTTAATCAGAGTATTGGACCCGTCCTTACCATTTTTGTCTTTGATGTTTCATAAAATTGGAACAAATTAGATTTTTTTTTTTTTTTATGAATTTCTTTTCATCTGCTTCCATTTGAAGGAGCTGTAACCCGAGTCTCAGATAATGGGTCTGTATCTGTCTTTCTGTCCAAAACAAGCTGTTTCACTCCTCCCCCAGGAGGACAACTTTTGTTCTGGTTGGCTACCCCTCACAATCAGAAGGTTTGAACAGCAGGTGGGCGGACTTCTGTCTGACACGATCATAATAGAATACACCCTCTGCATGACATTATATACCAAGAGTTTATGAAAATGAGATCAGACAGCAGTCTATTGTACAACACAGGAAAGAGGAAAAGCACAGTAGATTGTTCTCCATCATGAAAATGAGATGAGAGATTTCACAGATAAACTTTTATTATGCCTGCACAGTGTCGCAATACAGAAGGTTAACATATCAAACACTTAAACTTTGCTTCACTCATACATATAAAATCACTATAAAATGTCACTCTAATATCTGCTACTGTTTTTCCAACATTCACAAAGGAAACGCCACTTCACTTCCTTCCTGTGGTTTAAAAAAAAAAAAAATCCATCATCACCTGCTTCTCTCAACAGTAAGACCATTTTCTGTCAAAGAAAATCAAAGGAGAGAAAAATGCTGCAGGATAAATAAAAACAGAAGAGTTTGTTAACGTCACAGCCCAGCTCATCTTGATCATTCCACATCCCACAACTGGGCCTACGCCACATGAGCGATCTGGCACAAACCCTGACATACAGAGACCTGCTGAGTGCATCTGATTCAACATGGAGGGAAGATAGTCTCTCGCTCACCTGAAACTGAATGCTGAGGAAGGGGAGACTTTGCCTGCTGAGGCTAACTAAACACCATTTTTCACTCAGAATATCTTCGAAAGACATTAAACTCATCCATGAGAAAACATGAATGCTTTTAGGGATCTGTAGTTATCAAGCTAACTTTGGGTTTAACTCTGTCTTTTCAGGGTTATAAAGGTGGTATGTCACCATGGTAACTGATGCTACAGACCAAAGTTGCTCCAGGTTTTGTTGCAGGTAAGCGTTCACCATCTACTGACCAATCAGATTTTTGGACGATAGTCACCATGGCTGGAGTGCAGACAGTCCAAGGGTCTGAAGTGTTCGTGGTTATCGGATGAGCATCAGTAAGAAATAAGGATTCTTAGAGAAAGTTTATAGTTTCCTGTTTTTACAGATGGAGATAAGAAATAAAGGACTCGGAAGCACTTTTCCCCCCTCACTGACGTTAAAACTGTTTCTTCTGTTTAAGCTAACTTCTGAATTGTTTGGTTTGTGGGAGCAAAAGAGCAACTTGCAGCTTGAATTTTTCACTAAATATGAGGTGTGATGAAAAAGTTCAGAGAAGTGGACACACAAAAAAAGATGGAAATGTATGCAGTCTCCCCTTCATGGTGACCTCAGACACCTCTGGACCTCTGAGTGCTGCATATCTTCAGAAATACTAACAGAAAATCTGTCATCAAGAAAATAAACTAGTCCAGATAATGCAGATCACATTTTAATCCAGTCTTGGACAGTGAAGAGTTCAGTTTTAAGGGACTGTGACATGAAACGGACTGCCGGGGACGTTCTCGTCTCCCCACTTCACAATGAGGATGTAGCTGCCCTGCTCTTTAACAGTATACGTGACATTGTACATCCTGTTGCCCATGTGTTTGACGTACACTTCCTCGCAGGGTGTCTTCGGCCCGTGGACACCGACCATCAACATGTTTGTGCCTGCAAGGAAAAAAACGGAAATATCGTGAGTGGTGAAGAAAAATCTCAGATTTGACTTTCACGAAAGACAGGAGGGACGAAATGGTCACCTGCTTTACTGCAGTCGACTGTGAAGGTGTTCTTCTGACCAATGAAGGCCTTTGAAAGGCCGGCACCTCTGGAGATGACTTTACTGGCATCTGAGGAAAATTTAGGCAGAGAGGCAAAAGGGCTGCCCATCGCTACTGACTTGCTGACGGTCTCCACAAGAACAGACGACGTCTCATGCAAACCGTGGCCACCTGACAGACGAGGTCCTGGAAGAAGAAGAGTTAGAGTCAGCTTTCTCCAACAGTATGTGGACATCCCTTCAGGTTTACTGAAAAGGAGGAAAAGGAGTCATATGGTCAGTATCACCAGCTATGTAGAGCTTGGTGTCCTACAAGTGCATAAAAACAATTGGTTCCAAACAAGCTTTATTTAGAACTGAATGTGCTCTTTATCTCTGGAGGAATCAGTGGAAAGTGATGAATCATGCTTTATTTCCAGGAATCACTACGCCTGAAGGCAGCATGCAGACTGTACACAACAAGACCGAATCACTTTCATCCTCATTTCCAAGGAAACCCCAGGAAACTATACCCGTGAGTATCAGGAAAACTCACGGACTGACCTCAGTAAAAGGTCAATGGTCATTGACCCACCTGATACTTTGGCCTTGAAGGGGCTGCCTACAATGTGCTGGGGTCCTCCATACTTGATGGAGATCAGGTAGCTTCCAGGAGCCATAGGTGTGTAGGAAACCTTATACCCCTCAGGAGACTCCTGACAATCCATCTTAACCTTTGATGGGCCATCAATTGTCACGGACAGTGCTCCTGAGCCGGCGTTACAAGTATTGACAATAAACTCTGATGCCATGCCTAAATAAAGTGAGAACGCTCATTAAAACTCTCTTTCATCAAATGGTTTCAAAGTTAAAGACTTTGTTTTTTGTATATACCTGTGGTTCCTCCCTCCAGACCTGACCCAAACGCAGACACCATTCCTGGATCTCCGACCTGACCCGGTTCTCCTACTCTGATCTTGAAGGGACTGCCGGGGACATGGCTGCCATTAAAACGAACGTCTATAGAATGAACTCCATTCTCCTTTGGGATGAACCTGATAGCATGCTGATCTGTAGAAACAGGAAATCATTGATTTACAAACAGTTCTATAACCACCGTAAATACAGACTTTGAGAAAGAGGTTTCTTATACGAATGACTCTATAATCCTGTATTTAATATGAAGATTAAATACAAGAAAGATTTAAACTTCCAAACACTCTGAAAAATTACAAATTAAAATGAATAGTTAAGCAGTAAATAACAGTCTTGTATTTATAGCAAATAAGTGATCTGAACCTGAAAAACTAAAAGGTCGTGGGCCCAGACTTGAACCTTGTGGAACTCCAAATGTAATTTTGACTGGGTTAGGAAATCGTGGTGGATCCATGTTTGGTTTTTAATTGTACTCAAAAGTCCTAAAGATCACTTCACTAACAGCTATAATGGGGTCTTACCGCTGTCCAGCTCAGTGATGTAACACTCTTCGGTGGCTCCTGATGGCGTGTGGATCTTGGCATCAATTAGCCCTCTTGCTCCATTGAGCTGCACTGCAAAGGAGGCCTCCTGACCCACCTTCAGACCCATCTCCTGGTAAAGAAAAGGGATTCAGTGCTTTGGACCATGGAGATTAAAAGTGTTCAACAAGCAGTTCTTGGTTATTTTAAACAAATGGAATATGCTTCCTCAGTACTGCAGATACTCATTTAAGTGTTTTTACAAGATTTCTTTGGTGGTCTGATTAATAAAGTTTGTAGTGCCTGTTTTTATATTTATGCCTATGTTTTAAAGATTTGGCTTTAATTATAAATTGTTTAATCAAAACTATTTAGTTTTTTTATTTTTAAAATAGAAATTTGTCAGTTTAGTTTTATTTCTGTCTTTTTTTGTGAGCTCCTCCATAGCCTTTTTTCTGTTAATGTTACCAGCATAATTTTTTTTTTAATTTCACAATTTAACATATTGTGACTTTGTTTTTTTTCCCTACTTGTACACACATTTGTTATATCTCAAGAATAAATGTGTTGCATACAAAGAAAGAGGGCAGCGATTAAATATTCAGAGATAAATATACACACCTATGAACACAAATACAATCCTCAACACAGCACAGTTATTGAGACTCTAAAAATAAATCTGTCCACAGTAAATATAATTCTCAAAGGGTTTCATTTCTGTAAGTTCAGCTGGTAGATTTAGATCTTTCCTCACCTGCAGGCTGGTGATGGTGAGGCGGCGAGCGTCATCTGACAGCGAGGCGATGGGGACGGTAAAGGGGGAGTCTGGGATATGTTCATCATTGAATTTGATGGAGACCTCATAATCACCTGAACAAAAGAAATATATTATTGTTGGAAGGATATGCACTTTCTCCTTTAATACTTTAACGATCACAACAATTTGCAGATCCAATGATAAAAAAAAACAAAAACAATATAACATTATAACAAGGAACTTCAAAAACATTTAGGCTACGTTCACACTGCAGGTCTTGATGCTCAATTCCGATTTTTTGATCAAATCCGATTTTTTTGTCTGCTCGTTCACACTACAAATAAAATGCGACAGCAAACGCGCTCTAGTGTGAACGCTCAAAGCGGCCCACATGCGCAAAAGAAGACGTCATACACAACGCGCTCTGTTTAGACCCAGAGCAAACAGTATTGTTTGACTGATAGCCCTTAATATAAAGACTTCGGACTTCACGTTTCCCAATTTTTGCTTTAAGTTATTTTGTTATTTACATAATAATGTAAATAACCTAATAATTATCATTATTGCTGTTTTAGAGGAGCGGTGCTTCAAAGGATAGTTGCAGATTTCTGTCAGAATCTGCAGATTATACAGTATAAATAAAATGTTCACGTTTCTCCAACGTTGTCTTCCCAGCAGTTTCACTGGATGGCCAGGAAGCGTTCGCGATGTCTTATCGGGCGCTTCTCCAGCGCTGATAATTGGCGTCTGTCTTGTGTCAGTGACGTAAAAGACGGATTTAATGCGACTTGACCGTTCAAACAGCAGTCGCTTTCTGAAACATCGGATATGTATCGGATTCAGTACCACATACGAAAGTGACCCAGATCGGATTTGTGCCGTTCACACTGTCATACCATGATTGGGTATGGGTCGCATAGGGTCAAAAAAAAAAAGTCGGATTTGATGCGCTTTCGCCTGCAGTGTGAACGTAGCCTTATACTGTTTTTAAGTTCTAATTTTATTTCTGTTAATCTGCAAGTTTGTTTTTCAAAAGTTGCCCATTTACCATGAGTTCTAACTTTAATCTGTTTTTTTCTTAATTTATTTTTATATATCGTTCCAGAGGCAGAGCATGCTTACACTTTTACAATTACAATAATTATACTGTGACATGGATGGATTTGAACTAAACTGGTCCTGGGCGAATATTTGAAATGATAAAATTCAAGTAGTGATTCCAGGCTTGTGCCTTTGTTGCTATGTAGGTAGAAACCTTGTGGAATATAAGTTTGTATGCAGATCAAACCCTTTACCATCAGATACAGAATCCTAATGATGTTTATTGTCAAATTTTCACACAAATAAGGAATTTGTCTTGCTGTTATGGTGAAAAGAGTGATACAATTAATCAGAGGAATAAAAACAAAACAAAAAACAAATAAACACCACAATAATCTGTCAGAGAGTATTAAAACTATCAGAGAGTATTAAAAGTATTAAAATTAAAATGATAACATCTCACAGAAAAAGGTTAGGCTTCTTTCATTGGCTGAAATAAATCTGAGAGGCTTAAGCCAAATATCTCTTGAGACTTACCAGGTTCCTGCACTACGTAAATAACTCCACAGGATCCATCTTTCCTGTCTTCAAATGTTATCTCAGCCTTGCTGGGTCCTTCTACAGCAATAGAGAGACCTCCAGCACCAGCCTCTCTGGTCCAGATACTGAACTCCGCTGCAAAACAACACAAACTGTGAGAGCTGCAGTTCCTATGGTGGCCACTAGAGGAGCTTTTTGTAAAGAAAATTTTTCAAATTGAACTGAAATAGCAGACATATCATCAGTGAAACAAAATTAGGAACATGGGTGTTTCAAGAGTTCATTTGACACATCACAGATGGATGTTTTGTTTCCTGTGACCAAACCTTGCTGACATGTAGGAGCATGTCAGCATGCTTCTTCATCCAAAGATTCAAATGAAATCAAAGTTGTTACAGAAGAAGCAAAAAGAAACCGGTTCATAAGGACAGAAGAAGAGATAAGGAACAAATGTAAATCCTACAGCCCACCTGGGATTCCTGCCACTCCGCGGTCCAGTCCAGTGCCTCCTGCTCTGACCTTGTGGGCCCCTCCCTCTCCCAGGGGCCCCACAGTGAACTGGAAGGGGCTCCCAGGGACGTGCTGGCCCCGGTATTTGACGTTGACAGTGTGAGGTCCCATCTCCTGAGGGATGAAGCGGACGCTGTAGGTGCTCTCCTCTCCTTTAATGATCTCTGCGTCCTCTGTCTTTCCTCCAGGACTCGTCACCTGAGCCGTCATCTCCTGGTTAGCTGCCTCACCTGACAGGATTAGGAGAATGTTACTGAGGATCAGATGATTCATCCAGCAAATGTTTCATAGTCAGTTTTTACATAGCATGCACCAAAAAAAAAAAAATCTTTCATCATGCACTGGTTAATATGTCACGGATTTAGATTTTGTAGGTTTTTGGTCTATAGCATGTTTATTTTGTAATTTTTAGTAGCTAAAATTAGGTGTGGAGCTCCTCAGAAATCAATCCAAGGTCCTCTTTTACTTTTTCAATTTTTAGTTCAGTTTGAACAAATCATCTCATTCAATAGTAACATTTAAGTGAAAATACATTTTTATGAAGAATTTGATAAGAAATAGTGATGATACTGTAAATACTTGAACTGCAATCTTTTAATAATTTTACAAATTTAAAATGTTTCCTTGAGAGTGCGTATTACTAATATGCTTAATGGATGTTTGTCTTTGTCTTTCTGCTTTAAAATAGTCTTAAAGATGAACAGAAATCAGTTCTTCCACGTCTCAGTCAACAAAAACAACAGCAACCATTAACCTATAAAAAAAACCCTGCTTTTCCTCAAAAGTCCACTAGAGGCTCCAACAGTACAAACATGGCCCAGAAGTCTCTGAACTGGACTTCTGGGCTGTATTTGTATTGTTGGAGCCTTTTTAAGGTTTTTTTAATTTTTATTTTTTATCTGACCAATGATATGACTGCTGAACCTGTAAGCAGCTCCTTCCTTCTACTGCAACTATAAACCCAACACATTTCTTTATTGCTGTATCTGAGATTAGGCACAGTGCCCACATCAGGCCAGACTGAATAACAATACTACCTTAATCCAGACATTTTGACAGCAGAATGCAGACAAAGAGAAGTGAGAGAGCTGGAAGAATCAGAGCAGGTTAGAGGGTTAGCATGGGAGGCCATTACAGCACAACACTCTGTTAAATCAGCCACTCTCACTTACCACACACACACACACACACACACACACACACACACACACACACACACACACACACACACACACACACACACACACACACACACCGTTCTGCAGCGGCTGTCGGCTGCCGGTCGGCATCCCGCTGAAGCCACTAAGACTCTCTCGCCCTAGAAAATCTCCAAATACGTCTCTAAAGGGATCGCCTCCGACCTGCGTGCTCTCCTCCACCCGCACCTCCCTCTTGGTCTCTCCGGCTCGGGTTTTGCTGATCTCCGTTCGCTCGGTCCGGGTGTAGGTGTGGCTGCTGCGGGTGAACGTCCGGGTCAAACGGTCCTGAGCCGAAACCATCTGAAACCAGTTTCCTGCGACCCAGAGGAGAAGCAGGAAGGAGGAGGAGGAGGAAATAGTGGACAAAGACGAGGAGGTGAAGAGAAGGAAGCAGGGAGGGCAGGAGCCGACAGGAGGAGGATGAGGAGGAGGCAGATATCACAGCTCACCTGGTATTTTGAGGTTGAGGTCACACGTGCTGCCCACGGTGGCAATGGAGGGTGCCTGACGTTTCCGGGTGATGCTCTCTTTCATCCGACCTTCACCAAACACCTTCACCGTGAACGGACTTCCTGTTCACACAAACATCACATCACAACTGAAAGCCGAAACTCTTAGACCCTCATGCTTTGTCCAGAGCATCAGATCAACACCTAGCTCATCAGATCTGAACCAATGATCTATCTAACTCTTTATGGTAGTTACAGGAAAATGTTTTGTACTTGTGAAGAACTACTTCAGGCATCTGCATTCATCTTTTATACCATCTGCAGTGGTACGTTCTCTTTCTACAAACTAATTTGCCTCAAATCAAACTTGGAATAATTTTTCGTACCTGGCACATGCTGGTCGGCGAACTTGATGTTGATGATGTAGTTTCCTGGTTCTGTGGGACAGTAGGTGACCTTACATGTCCCGTCCTCCACGTCCTCACAGTTGATGTCCACCTTACTGGGACCCTCGATGGACAGACCCAGACCTCCATAACCTGCCACAAACACAGACATTGAGGGTTAGAATCTGAAATCCTGAGCTTCAGCGCTCTGATTGTGTGGATGAAGGTTGAATCCTCGCCTGCATTCCTTGTGTCCACAATGAACTCGGCCACCTCGAACACGTGTCCCTCCACCAGCCCCTGACCGTAAACCTTCACCTTGCTGGCATCTCCGATCTCCGACTGACCCACCATGATCTTAAATGGACTATTGGTCACATGTTTCCCGTTCTTCTTCACACTGACCACGTGTTCACCAACTTCCTTTGGTGTGAAGGATATTCCTGCAGGAAAGAGACATGTCATCAGAAACGTGGAGTCTCTTGTACAGCTGTGCGAATTCTTTTTACTGTAGAAAATCACACGTCCGTGTAGGAATGGGAATTGAGATCCGAGTAGTTCAGTTCTTTTGAATCGTCTGCCTACCTATCTGTCCCACTTATCGGTTTTTGCACGCTACAATCTGCTGATTTCAGTTTGTGTGTCAGAGGAGGAAAATAGTTGGGCAGTTTCCAGTGTGGATGTGGACTTTTATTTTTATTGCACAAAAGGACGAGAACGCGATGGTAAAGTGCAAACTGCATCCAGGATAGACACAACTGCATCATATGCTGATAACACAAATTCACCTCTTTTCTAACATCTGCACAGCCAACACTAAGCTAGTATTCAACCCAGAAAAATGTAAAAACTGAGTGTCTGCTGACATAGCTGGACTGGCCATCGGGTATACCGGGCATTTGCCCGGTGGGCTGCTGGCAATTTTTTGTTTTTATGGGCCGATGGATTTTTTTTTTTAGGAAGGGTATATATAATGAAAGGTGTTGGATTGGCCATTTGGTCATGATCGACTCTGGGCTGGACCAATTACAGCCGAGGAGGCCGGATTCACCCGCCCCCTTGTTTAGCAATCACGTGATTTTCGCGCATTGCATGCCGGGAACTCGTGGCAAAACAATCCAAGTACCGCATCAAATGCAAGGATTTGCAGCACCGCTAAACGTTCATTCTCCGGTTCCAATACCTTCCTGTTTTTTCTTTGCCGCACAAAAAAGGAATGTACAAAACAAAAGGAGAACAATGTCGGTCCGTACAAAGACAGACTCGACGAAAAGACAAAGAAAAGATACGAGGAAAAAATCAAAGGAGTGAAAGGGTCAGACCCTTAGGAGCACACAGAGTGGACAAAGGACGTCAGCGTGCTGCCCAACTTTCACCACGCTCATATTTATAATTACACGGTTCTTGGAGTGAGTGCATACACTCATGAAGTTTAGTAACTTCAGGTCACTGCAACAAGCCCAGGTACAGTTTGCCGACGGATGGGTGCAGGACCTTGAAATGCACCGTGTAGAACGAAAGACCATCGTACGTATCATAAGTTTACCAGTCTCACAAATCGTCCTCATAAATACACATTCGTTAACCGTTTATTAATATAACCTTTGAGCTCAACGGTAATTAATTAGTAGTGGAAATAATTTCTGGTTCATTACAGAAATGTAGCAGTGACAATAATATTGTATGCTGTAATCGCACTGGACAATTAGTGATACAAAACAACTGTTTTATCCTGTGAATAAAAGTATATGGTTTTGTCAATGTACCATAATAACAGAAGCGAAACGCAATATTGTGTCAGGACAATTCACTATTTATGCACAATAAACACAATAAATAAAGGAGCATAGCGCAACAATTTCTGTTCAGCGCCAGACTTGCTTGTAACCTATATCACCAGTTATGTTAAGAAAAATGACGTATTAACTACTACAAAACTCTGACCTTTGTGGGAATGCTTGGAGCAGACTAACATGTGAGCTGAAGTGTTCTGAGACGTTATATTTGGTATATCCAGACCATCCGTCGGCTCTTACTTCGGAAACATGGCTTAAAAATTTCTCTTCAACGACGTAATCCGATAAAAAAAAAAAAGATCTCTTTACCCGTCGGCTTCCCGTGGCTGTCATGCGACCGGCTATTGCAGTTAATAATACAACAGCTTCTTGGCATTTTTTGGGTTTCTTTTTATCGCTGTGTAACTGAGTTCAATTGAAAGCCTGCGTGCGCTAGTACCTCTTGCCACAAGTTCCCAGAATCCTTTGCGGTTTTACCCCTGAATGACGTCACATTTATCCTGGTGGGCCGGTCTCTAGTCAAAATGCCCGGGCCGATTTTTTGTCCCAGTCCAGCCTTGTCTGCTGACTGTGACGATATTCTGATCCTCACACCTGTGTCACCTCCAAAAACATGAACAATAGTCTCAGATCTGGCCTGCTTCAGACCTTCAGCACCTGAAGGTTTTCCCTTTCAAGTCCTAATAAAGACATTATTATTTAGGGACAATAAGGTAATTTTATCACCGATGAATTAGTGATGGACAGCTAGCTTTGTTGACTGGGTAATAATTTGAAGAATGTAATATTTAGAAAACCAAATATTTGATGAAATCTGGATAATAATAAAGATTCTATGTTGTTTGGTTTTGGTCCACGTTTTGCCAAAGGGTGACTGAGAAGCATTGAAGCATAGAAACTGACCGATATGTCTGTTGGGCAGCCTCTTCAGCAGGCAGGGCTCCTCGTTTCCTGACGGAGCTCTGATCGTCGCGGTCAGGCTGCTCAGGTCCGTCTCCATAATTTTTAAGGAAACATCTGTTGCCGTGCCAACGTTAAGCTGGGATGTTCTCATAGAGTCGTCACCTGGAGATCAAATGTGAGACGACAAAGTAATAGTGAAAACCAGCTTAGTTCAATCAGCCAAACTTTACTCATACTGCAGCTTTTAATGCAGGTTACAGCACCCACAGACAAGCCAGCACCGACACAAATGAAACAACGTGCAATGACATAAACAAACTAAAACAAACTAAACTGGCATCAATTTGAAAACAGAAATTAAGCTAATGATTGGCCATGTGATGGACGTACCGTGGGTAATAGGTGCTGCTTACTGAACAACTATCATGACTAATTTTAAAAAAACTACACTGAAAGGTGGAGCATGATGAGAAGGAGCTTGGGAACTTTAAAAGGTGAGGGGGGTGTCTCGGCAGGGGAATGTGCTCTCCAAATGCAGACTAAATCAACATTCACAGCTCGATGCCAGAGTTTGGACCACCTAAGCAGAAAATCTTTTAATCTTTTGATTATGATGATGATGAGCTTTTATGTCTGACATAAAACAAAAACCATATACAAACATACACATATACACTGATACCTGCATACACACACATATGCACACAAAAAAATACAATAAATAAAGAAAATCTCAGTGACATGAAATAAACCACTTAATCATCAAGTCCAAAATGGAGCAGGAAGAAGTATGTACACGCTGATTAATCCCTACCCTATGCTCAGCACTCTACTGATTCATGATATTCATCATTACCCCCACTTTGCCTCAGCACTTGTATACACGTACCACACAAAAAAGAAGAAAGACAGGAATAATCTATGTGTAAATATAGATGTAATTCATATATAGATACTTTTTCTTTTCTTTGATGGCCAAGACTTGGAGGAACAATTAAAAACCGAGACTGTCACTGTCCTGGGTCTGTGACCCAGTGTTTTGTTTCTGTATTACTATTGAACTTTGATTTTGTCATTGTTTATCTTTTCTAGTCTTTTGGTTTCTGTGTTCCATGGTTGCTGTCTCACCTAGTTAAGTCCGTGTCTGTTATGTTTCTTGTTTTACTTTGAAAGTCTGCGTCCTATGTCAATGTATTGAGTTTTGCTTCCCCTTGGTCATGTCTGATTACTCCCAGCTGTGTTCTCCTGTGTCTCATTCCCTCGTTATCCGTCTGTCTATTTAAGCCTTGTGTTTCCCTCTGTTAGTTACTGGTTCGTCTGCGTGTCTGTATTTCTCCAGGTGTCTCTCCATGTTTTCAGGTTTGTAGTCACAGGTTTTTATTTCTTGTATTATTATTTCGTAGCTCTTCCCAGTTTAGGTTTTGTTAGCGTAGTTCCCTGCGATACCCTGCTTTGGTTTGTATTTTCCCCTTTCATTATTAATAAACTTTCTCACAGCTACGCCGTTGTCAGTGCTTGCGTTTGGGTCCACATCCTGCATCTCCTGATGATCTGCCCCCCAGATCGTGACATAGACAGGTTAACAATGAGCCAGTGAAGGTCAGGAGGTTAAATAATGTAATTAGGAAATATTATAATGACAAGGAAGGATAATTACAAGAAGTTAGACAACCAAAAGAAGAACACATGCCACGTCATGGTTTGACAAAACAAAGAAACTTTCCAGAACACTTTAAAGCTGTTAGAGTTAAAGTGAAACCTTTTACAGGACTAAATGACTGAATAACTGAAGATAAAAATGCCGGATAATTTATTTTCTGAATTTAGCTGAAAAAAAAATCTGATCATTTATATCTGCTTTGATTGGAAAGGGTTTTGTATATTTGGTGTCCCACAGGAAGATAGAGCAGAGTGTTGTCTGCGTACAGAGATAGAAATCAACTAAAGGCAATCCACATGTGACCAAGTACACAGTTAATATCTATCTTTTTCTGCACGTGCTTCATAATTAATGTGTTTTGAAGGTACTGAAAGGTATTGATTGTGAAGATATTCAAGCTAAGCATGTTAGTTTTCTTAAAAGAAGATTTTCTACATTTTTGGAGGTAGTTCTGAAAAATTACACATTAAATTCAAATTACATCTTTTGTTAAAATCATAAAAATGTACAACGTCATAGGTGCTGCAGCTGCTTTTTGATGAACAATCATTTAAAAAGTGTTGCTTAAAACTGAGCTGTCTGGACAAAAGCCCGACTTTCCCGAGGAGAGAGAATTTTTTACCAGTAATCTTGGCGGTGAAGGGGCTGCCAGGGATGTGTTTGTCATCAAACTTGACGATGATGTTGTAGTCTCCAGGTGCGGTGGGCAGGTAGGACACTGTGCATGTCCCGTCCTTGTTGTCTTTACAGCTGATCTCTGCTTTGGATGGACCTTCAACTGCCAGAGACAAACCTCCTGTAGAAAGAGTGGGAACACTTACTGCCTTTCTTATCTTCAGTTTCACATGGTGTCTTCTTCTGATTAAATACACATTTCATATTTCAGATAAAAGATACAGTCATAAACACAGTCTACGTGCCCGAGAAGAACTGGGCTCAGGCTTTAAACAGCTCTTATATCTACTAGTGTACATATGAGGGATACCTTCTCCAGCATCTTCTGTAACTATAGTGAAAGTAGCTGGTCGGTTCATGGTGCCGTGGCTCAGGCCGGGACCGTATGCTGTCACATGACCACTGTTAATAGCATCAACATAGAACTGGAGTGGACTTCCTGTAACAGAGAGAGCACACAGAGAACCTGTGTGTTAATGTGATGTTTAATGATTTTCACATTAAAGGTTGAAAGTCAGTCTGTCTGCTGATAACACTGCTGAAGACGAAAGAATGTGCGCCTCAGAAACAGAACACATATTCACTGAGGAGGGATCACCTGGGATGTGGTTGCCATCGTATTTGATGTCCATCTCATGGAGGCCTCGTTCAGTTGGCGAGTACTTCACAGTAACTGTCCCGTCCTTGTTGTCGGTGATGTGAGGTCGGGCCGTTCGGCCAGAAGGCATGCGGACTTCACCTGGAGGATAAAACACACACAAGTTCAGTTATTCTGACTAATTTCATGTTTAGACTGAAACCATTCTAATCACAATAACCAAAAGGTTAAATTTCATTAGAGTTTTTAAATTAGATTAAAATACTATGCAAGTTATCAGCCTCTAGTAATGCTTCAAGTGCATCCTTTGATGCAAAGTCACCTGGTTAGGAATGATATGTCAAAGCTAAGAAACAGCATTTACTGGGGTGCCAACTGAGCATGAGCAGGCGACCATGTGCGGCATGGCCACACAGAAGAGAGCAGATTCAAGTCTGACCCGCTTTCCTGTCTGTCTACACCAGGGGTCAGCAACCTGCAGCTCTTTAGTCCTTATAGTGCGGCTCTGCGTGGTTTGGGAAAATATATATATATATTTTTTAAATATTTTGCTGAAGTGCATTTTATTTATGTTTATTTATGTTCTTTTTAACTTTTAGTCCTAAATTGGAAGAGTATTGTGATATTGAAATATAAAATTATATTATATTTTTCATGGCTGAAAATAAGCGTCACACTCACTGAAGCCGGCATACCCGCCGAAACACCTTGCATTTATCGAGACTTTCAACCCCAGGTAGGCAAATTATGGATCTTTGGATCCACATTATGTCAACAGCTATTCTCCACCGTGAACTATGCTAAAAACAAACACTGCTCACGCCTCACAGATGATAGCTTACAGTCCTGCGTAAAGATGAAAGTGACTTCTTATTAGTGATGTGCGGATCGATCCTGAAATATCGATTCCTCCGATACCAATCATTTATGTTCTAGAATCGATTCTCACATTAAAATATCGATATTTTAGTAATTTAGAGTAAATTTGTAGTTTATCATTAACAGGAACACAGTGGGAAGAAACTATAACATTCGGATTGTCTACATTCAGAGGAACTACTTCCTCTTCCGCCTTTCATAGTCATGTGTGAAATACGGCTGTATAAATGTCTGGCAGCCCCTTGGCGTCCGCGCTCGCAACAATGGAGGAGGAGGAACACGTCTGAAGGTTAAAGGCATGTTCACAGCCACTCTCAGCAAGAACAACCACAAAACCAAAGAAGACATTTATGTCGTACAGGGTTTATGCACACCGCTGCTGAGCGGGCATGCTGCAGTGGCACTACAGCTGGTTGCTAGAGTGAATCATATTAGCTTAGACTCTATTGACGCTGTCAAACAAGAATTCCCCAAGCTTTTCAGCGGCTTAGGCAAAATGGAGGGGGAGTACAATATTGTTCTGAAACCAGAGGCACAGCCGTTTTCCCTCTCGACCCCTAGGCGAATCTCCCTTCCACTCTTACCAAAGGTTAAAGAAGAGCTGAACAGGATGGAGCAGCAGGGTGTCATTTCCAAGGTGGAGGAGCCCACTGATTGGTGCGCGCCTATGGTGGTGGTTCCTAAGCGCACAGGCATAGTGAGAATATGCAGCGATCTCACTGAACTAAACAAATATGTCATGAGAGAGAAGCATCCACTCCCTTCAGTAGAACACACACTAGGACAGCTTGCAGGAGCAAAAGTGTTTTCAAAGCTGGATGCCAATGCAGGATTTTGGCAGATTCCCTTATCCAGGGACTCTTCTTTGCTCACGACCTTTATTACACCTTTTGGTCGGTATTGTTACAATCGTCTGTGCTTTGGAATCTCATCAGCCCCAGAACACTTCCAGAAACGGATGGCACGCATTCTTGAGGGCTTAGAAGGAGTCCTCTGCCAGATGGATGATGTGCTCATCTGGGGGACGTCACAAGCAGAGCATGATGAGAGACTTCGAAAAGCACTGGTTCGACTGCAGGAGGCTGGAGTAACATTGAACGACAAGTGTGAGTTCTACAAGAACAGGATAAAGTTCCTGGGGCAGGTCATTGAGGCATCGGGGGTTAGCGCAGATCCTGACAAGGTGCATGCCGTGAGTTCCATGGATGAGCCCAGCAACATAAGTGAGGTGAGACGCTTCCTGGGCATGGTGAATCACCTAGGAAAGTTTCTTCCTCACATGGCGGAAAAAACGCGCCCCCTAAGAGATCTACTGAAGAAGTCCAACCTGTGGTCATGGGGGCCACAGCAGCAGCAGGCTTTCGACGGCATCAAAAAAGAACTGACAACACCCCCAGGGCTCGCTCTGTATGATCCAAATGCTGAAACGTGCGTATCAGCTGATTCATCTTCGTATGGCTTGGGAGCAGTGCTTCTCCAGCGGCACGCCGATCTAGGGTGGAAACCAGTAGCATACGCTTCAAAAGCTCTCAGCGCGATATGCTCAAATTGAGAAGGAGGCCCTCGCTTCAACATGGGCCTGTGAGAGGTTTGCAGAGTTCCTAATTGGGAAAACATTCCACATTGAAACAGACCACAAACCTCTGGTCTCGTTGCTTGGCTCCAAGGGCCTGGACGAGCTTCCACCTCGTATACAACGTCTACGCATGCGATTGATGAGGTTCTCTTATACCATATCTCATGTTCCTGGTAAATGGTAAATGGCCTGTATTTATATAGCGCTTTACTCGTCCCTAAGGACCCCAAAGCACTTTACACATCCAGTCATCCACCCACTCACACACACACTGGTGATGGCAGCTACATTGCAACAGCAGATGTACTGTCCAGAGCTCCTGTATGTGACACAACTGAAGGTTTGCCGGAGGAAGAAATCAACTTGTATGTGGAGTCCGTCATAGCAAGCCTGCCAGCCACAGAGCCACGACTCAGAGAAATCCAGACACATCAGGACAATGACAGCATTCTAAGCCAGCTGAAGAAGTTCTGTGTGGAAGGATGGCCAGATAAGTACTCCATCGAAAGGGTTTTCCAGCCTTATCTGCCATTTTCAGGTGACCTCACAGTCCACAATGGTTTGCTTCTTTATGGGAGCAGAATAGTGATTCCCACATCACTCAGAGCAGACATTCTGTCTAAACTACATGAGAGACACCTGGGAATAACGAAATGCAGAGAGAGAGCTAAACAATCTGTTTGGTGGCCAGGCCTGAGCAGTGAGCTGATAAAAGTGATTGGGACCTGTGACACTTGCTGCCGTGAGCGGACTAACCACAAAGAAATCATGCTACCTACCGAGTTCCCACAAAGACCGTGGGCCATGGTTGGAACTGATCTGTTCCAGATAGAGAATAAACAGTACCTGGTCATTGTGGATTACTTTTCCAGATTCTTCGAAGTTGCCAAACTGACATCTACAACATCAGAGGCAGTGATCGAGCACTGTAAATCAATCTTTGCACGTCATGGCATACCAGAGCGGGTTCGCTCTGATAATGGACCTCAGTTCTCGTCTGATTCCTTCAAAAGATTTGCACAAGAATGGGGTTTTAGCCATGAGACATCCAGTCCCCACTTCCCTCAGAGCAATGGGGAGGCCGAGAGGGCAGTCAGGACCATCAAAAGTCTTCTTAAAAAGTCTGGCGATCCCTATCTCGCCCTTATGGCATACCGGGCCACTCCATTGGCAAATGGCTACAGCCCAACAGAGCTTCTCATGGGTAGAAGGATAAGGACAACTATTCCTGTCATCCCATCACAGCTAAATCCAAGAGGTACGGACACAGACAAGCTCAAAGCTATAGAACAATCGTACAGACAAAAACAAAGACAAAACTACAACCGCAGACACAGAGCACATGATATGCTACAGCTCAATCCTGGAGACAAAGTGTGGGTCTCAGACATGGATACTAGAGGGACAGTCGTGTCCATGGCAGGCTCACCGAGGTCCTACATCATCGAGACAGCAAAGGGCACGCTGAGAAGAAACCGTTACCATCTTACATGGACACCTGGGGCACCGGAGATTTCTGGCGATCCACCAGAGGCTTCACCTGAGAACTCTGTTCCAGCTGCACAGATTGTGTCGGTTCCAGACACTATCTCACAGGGGGCCAGCCAGCAGACTCCTGAAGCTGGGAGCCAAATCCAACCCAGGTCTAGGAGGCCTCCAGCATACCTAAAAGACTATGTTTGCTCATAGGGCTTGGAACTGAGTGAGCAATGGGGCAGAATAATCCCCACACTCAGGCTGAGGGCTGGGTAGTCTACCCCATCCCTCATAGAGACAATGAGAAATAAAGCAAATGGTTGCACTGTTTAAACATGTTGTTTGTAGCTGCACTGAATAGTTCAGAAATGTGCACTTATGCTTAGTGTTCAGAGTTGTATACTTTGAGAGTTTATTTTTGGACATTCTGAGTAGTCTGGTTTGAAACCAAGCGAGTTCAGTAAACAAGCTGTTACCAGATAAAGCACAAGGACATAGTAATAGTATACTTTAAAGCGTGCGGGTCTAATCTGTTTTCTTGGTTGTATTCCAGCATCACATCCTATTTAGTAGGGGGGATGTAGTATCAGGTAAATGTTAAGTGGTAGGAACGTTTCTGCTGGGTTGTTGTTGTAGGGGGGGGATGAAAAATAATAAAGGACACTCATTGGAGTAATGGCGCGTCTCTTGTGTCTGTGAGTTATGCCTCCAGTCAAATAACATCCATAACCTCAAATAACGTAACAGTGCGCAGAGGTTCAGGAGCAGAAGTTCCATTGTAAACATACCACGGCAGACCAACGATGTTTCCATGAACATGCTTTTCAGCATCTACCACTTTTCACACACGGTTGCTGTACGCATACAGCCGGCTGTAGCTTTTCAGTTCACAGCCCGACACACACCAACACAACAGCATAGATAGCACAGACGTTAAGGCGGCGAGGCGTGATTGCGGGTGCCGCTCAGGTGCGTCCGCCTCCCCTGCAGCGGCGCTGCAGACCACGCCCCGCCACACACATTAACCAGGTAAAATACATATTTAGGCAGAATTTTGCAAATATCTAGTTTTCATTTTTTTTTAGCAGCATAGTGCTTTTTTTCCAATTACTTTTTAAAAGTCAGGTCAAGGCTCCAAAAGCCCAAAGGCGATATAAGGGTGGCGGCTCACAACAGTTTTTGTTTGCTAAATGTAATTGTAATTTTGAAATTGAAATGTAATTTTCTCTGTAGCACTTCATGGATTTCACAAGCAATAGACCTTAGTTGTTCACACAAAGCATAAAGGTAAAAAACAATATATACAGTGTAATCTTCATTTTAGATGTCAAAAAGTATTTGCGGCTCCCAGTGTTTTCTTTTGCGTGGAAATCGCGTCCTAATGGCTCTTTGGGTGTTAAAGGTTGCTGACCCCTGGTCTACACCGTCTCTGTCCAATAATGGCTAAAATGCCCACGAAACAAAACAAAATTAACACAAACTGCATAAACACTACCATTAGAAATAAAGATGCCCTACCTGTGATCTCTCCTTTCTGCACCGTAAAGGGAATGACCAGACTGAAGGGACGCAGCATCGGCTCCAGCCCATCCACAGGGCTGACGGGATCATCGGTAGCCTGAACCAGAGCAAGAGGGGAGGGGCGTTAGTGGCATCATACTAGGAACTCTGGGATTTCATCCAGAGAGAGGGGAGAGGCAGAGGAAGCACAGCAGGGCTGCAGAGAGGCTGACAGAGACATCTGACTGGTCCAGTTTAGGTAACACTGGTTTAAGAGCGGGGAAAGGAAGGGAGCTTCTAACGATCAGAACTGAACTGGAACAAATGACTGCTGCACAGTCTCTGAGATAATAAGAAAATAATATTATATAGGTTAATATAAGAAATATTAACCTATCTAAGCATTTTGATATAAAGAAGCAAAATGAAATAGAGACAACGGCTCTGAAAACTATAACGAAACCATAAAATTACCAAAAAATTATAATTAAATACATTTAATGAAAAATAGAGTAAAGCAATAAAACAAAATTTAAAATTTAAAATAATGTCATACTAAAAATAATATGAAAAAATTATAAAAGTATAAAAATAAAATAAATTATAATTTTAAGAAAATACACAATTCTCTGAAATAATACAAAACAGATCAAATCTGTCTTGAAACTATTTCTCTAAAATCATCACATTGTCAGAACATCTGGATCAGCTGCTCTCCAGATGTTGAAGAAAAGTTGACATGCTGAATTGTCTCTGATATCAGCCAGTCAGAGGGTAAAAATCAGAGGGTAGTGTTAATAAGAGTAGCCCCCAGCTGCCCTCCCAGCAGGAGATGATGATCATGCAGATTAAACATGCAGCCTCATGCTGAGCCAGAGATCAATCAATAAGTGAATGTGGGTCGGTATCGACTGTGGGACAGGAAACGCTGCAGTGATGGAGGGCAAAGCGAGGAACAGATGACAGTTTTTATGAAGAGGAGACGCAGCGGCAGATAAACAGCAGGTGTGGAGGTAATGATGATACCCATTGAGGGGAGAAGGCCGCATAGGGAGAGTAGGGCTGCTGTAACTGAAGCTTGTCACATGGTTCCTCTATTATTGGGATGGTATCACTTGCCTGACGAGGAACAAGGTGCAGCCATTACAAACACAAGCAAACCAGAAACAAACACACCGAAAAGCGCAGCAATTTTCCACAGTTTCAGGAAATAAATCTGAAACATAATTAAAATATGGAACAATACAATAAATAAACAAAAATAAAACAAATAGTCAAAGAAAAATTAAGGATAAAATAGACTGCAACTTAAAATCAAATCAAAAATGAGACATAAAACAAATACATACATAAGATACAAAAAAATACAAAAACAGCCACAAAAATAAAAGAAAACAAAAAGATGAACAAAATAATAAATAATAATACATTTATTTTCCTTAAACTGGAGATTTCTCCATCGTGTCAATGCTGTGAAGAATTCACAGTTTCACAGTTTTATTCAAAGAGTTTGTTTTGTTTGGGGGTCAACTAAATAATTTAAATATTTGTTTTTTCATAGTGACAACTAATATTCATGAAAAAAAAAATCCCAAGATCAGTTGTGAAAGACATGCAGTTATACAGAGTGTTAAATAAATGAGCCATTAGCTAATCGATCTCCAGTGGCTCCAAATCTGATAGATTCAGATGGGTTGAGATAGTTGGAGGCGTAAAACTACTTTGGTATTTACATGAAGAAGCCTTGGAAGGACTGACCTTCAAACCAAACAAAACCCAATCCAAAAACCCCAACTTAAACTATCCCAAAACCAACCCCAACAAACACCAAACTGCCCCAAACCAGTTCAAACCATCCAAAATCAAACCTAACTATGTAACCCTAAACAAAAACCAGACCAAAGCCAAACCAAACTCATGCCAACAAATCCCAAACAAAACCACTCTGAACCAAGAAAAAAAAAAATCCTAACCCAACCTAAAGTAACCTCAACCTAAACTATCCCAAATCCATCCCCATAAAACCAACAATAACAGGCCAGAAAGTCAAAGCAAAACAAAGCTAACCTGACCACTTGACTCCAACTCAGTCCCAAACTGAAATCAGCTAAGCCCAAATCATGGTGTTTTCAGGGTGGTGACTCACCACGACATGGAAGGGGCTGTTAGGAATGTGTTCCCCTCCGAAGCGGATGGTGATGACGTACTTCCCTGGCTCTGGAGCCGTGTAATAAATATCAAACGTCCCATCTGCGTTCTCCACTACATCCACATCCAACTCCGCTCCGTCCGGCGTTGACACCTTACAGGTGACTTTACCTTTCCCTGCAGCCTTTGCATCCACGGTGATGACTGTTTCCTCTCCGATCTGGATGGTTGGTCCAATTCCTGAACCTGACAAGACATTTGTGGAACCAACAGAGTCAAAGCAGTGATTTCTGAAGTGATTAATGTTAATGAAAGAAAGCACACACTAATACCAGGGAGGTTAAATGTTTAGATTGATGCTGAGTTGATTAGGGGAAGCTTTAAGAGTGATCGTGAGCAGTGATTATAAGAAAAAGGTTCTGATAACGGTGGTGTACCCAGCCTCAGAGTGAGTGCTGCTCAATGAGCTGTTAGAGTGGGTTGTTAATCTCTATTGTGTTTATTATCAATATGTTTATTGCACAATAGAAACCCTTAAATAAAACAATAAATTAAAGTCTTTGTCATTTATTTCAGTTTGCACTGAGTGTGTTTGAATTTGTTTGGGTGGGTTTAAAGTGCAAAACATACTTATAATAAATCTTGGATTTCCTTCTGTTTTCCAGACAGACTGACTGGACAAATACAGTGACAGTAATTGTGGGTAGTTACACATATGTCAAATATAGATGACAGGAAATGAGTGCAGAAATGCCACAGATAGTTTCGGTCTCATCTGGAGTCCACTGGAGTTTATCCAGTGCCCTCCAAGCATTTTTAATTCTCCACCCTACACACCAAAACATCTTTAAGTAGCTTCAAGCTGCACTGACAGATGTCCAGTTCCCAGCGCGTACTGGGATTTAGTTTAGCCATTGCTTAGCGAATGACATTTCCCATCACTCATTCTGAAAGCTCAGAGAAACTCCCAGCCCATCTTCTGGCCTCTGAGAACAGAAATCACTGCATATTTAGCATCTTATTTTATTCAGTTCCTTCCATATATAACAGCTTCCAGCTAATTTTATATTCTTATTATTAATAATAATAATAATAACTTCTGAGGTGACCTTTACTACTAGGAATGGTATCCTACCTTTTAAAGCAAACTACCCCCCCCCACCCACACACACACACACACAGAGCTGGATTCCAGTCACAATGCAGAACCAAAATTTGAGAAAACATTAAACTCAATGAATCAGTGTCCATTTTAAATATCCACCGTTCAGTATATATGTGTAGTTGCTGGTTGGTTAGTTAAGCAGCTGCTTTTTTATGCAAAACTGTAATGCTGTTTATCTGTTGGCGTTCAGTGAGTCTAAGAAAGTTGAGGCCACTCACCGAGTCCGTGTCCTCCAATCGACACTGTAGGAAAACAACTACAATCAGTGATGCTGCTAAGCTTCCAATGATAAAGTTTAAGTTTCAGTGCTGATGGGTGGAGCCTAACCTGTGACCAGACACTTGCTGGCGTCTCCGGTGGGCAGGGCGTGGATCCGGTAAGGTGAGTACGGGATCTCATCTCCTCCGTATTTGATGGTGATGGTGTAGCGGCCCGCCATGTCCGGCACGTAGGACACTGTGTAAGTCCCATCTCTGTTGTCTCGAATGGTTGCCTTCTTGGGTTTTCCCTCTGGATCCTGGAAGCGTACAGACAAGAAGTTAGTCATGTTTGGGGTACAGAAAACATAAATAGGTCCCATTGCCCATCACTGGTCTCCTACCATCTGCCATCGATAGTAAGAAAAGGGAAAAGTAATATGAAGTCAAATTAATTTTATTTTACGGAGATCAGAGATCTTCTTGGTCACCAGACTGAGGCTCATTTCTTCATGTGTGGACACAAACAAACTGAACTGCTGGGTGGAAGCTACAAACCTGCAGTTCCTCTGATGTCCAGCAGAGGCTTCAGCAGTGCATCAGTTAAAACCTTACATTAGAAATAAACATCTTTACAACCTGATACAGAAACTGTTTTGGTCTCTAATGATAATTTCCAACTTCTTTTGATGATTTTTAGGAATCTTTGTGATACATAAATGCAATCAATGGATTGTTTGGTCGGAGACATTCACACCAGTAGCCTGCTGCAGGTCATTCTGTAGGGCTCTGGCACTGCTCATCCTGCCCCTGCTTTTGTACAAAGTAGAATATACTTCTCATTGCAGTATTGGTAATACCCGGTTTCTGTATCTTGCACAGAAGAAGAGGACAAAACAGATTTTCTGGATAAACAAATATGTTAGAGATCAAACAACCAACATGAAATTCAGACTTCTGGATCTAAAACTTTTCACTGTGTCAGTGATGAGCAGTTGAATGTAAAAACAGGCGTAAAAAAAATAAAAAAAAATAAAAAAATCTGATTTAACCTCCCTGTGCAGCAGCGCCCCCTGGTGTGTGGAAGCAGGCATCTACAGCTTATATCCATGTGAAAAACTAAAGTGTGTATCAGAAAGATTAACAGCTACCGCATTATGAACACTATCGTAGACCTGATGGCCGCTGATGGTTTGAGAGCAGTGGGCTTGTCACGTCCACAAGTGTTCTCACAGGATCTAACTATTCACTGCAGCAAAGACAGGTCAGACAAGTGGATGGATGGATCATTGAATGGAAGCAGGTTTACCAAAAACTCTGGTTAGTTAACAACTCAAAATCAAATATGTCTGTTAACTCGTTAAACAAACTGAATGGAGTCAGTGCACGTGCAGACCACAGAGGGGTGGAAGCCAAGCAAAGTGCTGCCAATGAAAATTTGCTTCTAACGTTCCAGCAGATAATCTTTTTGAATCTGTTGTTGATTTGATGAACATTGAAAGTGATATTTCAAGTACTTGGACTCTAACACAGGAAACTATGAGCTTCATTTAAAAGGCTTTAACTAAGAGCATTTACCTAACATCCTACCATCTGCCAGGTCAGATGTGAACTGCTAAGGGAAAGGGCTGAAATTTGTTCTCTCACTCTTATTTTATCCTTACAGTTCTTCCATTATAAGATTTCCATTTAAGTGTAACTAACAGATAAGATTCCATATTAAGGAGTTGATTATAAGAGCTTAACCACGTGCAGCTATTCTTTCTTTGAGTCTCCGTTTTTAATAACATCCATGAAACTAATAATGAGTTTCATGGATGTTATTAGCGTCACAGGAATATTCACACTTTAGATCTTATGCAGAATATAAGAGCGGTGAAAACAGCCAAAGGCTACACAATGAGGAGGCAGTCAGCGGGGGAGAACAGGTGGGTTGGGCGGGGGGACAAGAGACAGGTAAAGGGGGAAGGAGGTGAAGGGAGAGAGTGCAGGGCTTACAGAGCCTCTCCTAAGAATACTGAAGGGGATGGTTTTCTTTACTATGTGAGTCTCCCACACCCTCCTGCCCCAGTCTTCCACAAACAATGAAGCCTCGCGACTGCAGCCGTCTGGACCCTGCAGTGACAGCAACAAGCCCGCCGGTCTGCGTTTGAATCGGGGTGAGTCAGAAACAGGTCACAGAAGAGCAACAAGACACGACAGACACCTCCCTGCCAAACACTGACTGGGCAGCACAATGATGATTTCAGGACAGGAGACTCACCAGAATCTGGACGGTGAGCAGTCCTTCTCCAGCATCTCTGGCATCAATGGTGAACTCCACTGGCAAGCTGGCTGGAACCCCAGATGCATTCAGACCGGGACCACTGGCTCGAACTTTGCTAGCATCATGAGCCGGTAACGTCTTGATTTTAAAAGGACTGAAGAGACAGTTAGAAAGGTTAAATCTGAACCTGAAGGACCAGAACTGTCTTGTACACACTTCTCTTCAATACCAACCTCCGGGGCACTTCCTGGTCGGCATACTTTACGCACACCGTATATGGTCCATCGTTGGCAGGAGTATAGTTGACCGTGTGAGTGCCATCACCATTATCTGTGATGTTGAGTGGCTCAGCTACACCTGAAGACAAACCAGAGCACAGGGCAAGGCCACAATGAGGTGATATCAGGTGATTAAAGCTAATGGGAGAGTTTCATGACAATACTACTAAAGAAAGATTTAACTCCAGCTTGATAATGAGTTGGTCTGACTGGAAGTCCCACGGGTATAAGGTAAGGCAGGTGCAGCTTTTTTGGAACAGCTTTCCTGGTTACCAATGGCCTGGGCAATGTTATGAGGTTAATAAGTCTTTGTAATCTTACCTGTTGGTCCATATAGCTGAACTGACAGGGGAGCCACCCCTGCCTTGCTGCTGTCTACAGTAAAAGTCTGAGGAACATGAGCCCGGACTCCACTTCCAAGGCCAGGACCTGAACACCTCACCATACTGGGATCAACCAGCTCTCGCACTGGGACCCGGAATGGACTCCCTGAAAGACAAGTGACGTAATAGACGCTCTTGATTGCAGATATCTTTACCTTAGAAAAGCGCAGAGTCAGTTATATCCAAACCACACCCTACAGGGTTAAGTGACCTTCACCTGGGATCGGTAAGCCTCCAAAGGTGATATTGACGTCATATTCTCCAGGTGTGAAGGGGATATACTCCACACTGCAGCTGCCATCTTTGTTGTCCTTACATGACATTTTTGCCTCTGATGGACCCTCAATGGCCAGGCCAAGTCCCCCAGTGCCAGCACCTCTGAGGCACGCATGAAACAAAAAGGAAGTTTAGGATGTTTAAACAGAGATCTATGGATGCTACAAAATCTATTCTGGATTTAAAAACAGAGTGACGATACCTGGTCTCAACAGTGAATTGGTTTGGTTTGTTCACCAGTCCTTCCTCCAAACCTGGACCGTAGGCTTGGACTCGACTGGGATCACAACCCTCGCTCACGGACACCCTGAACGGACTCTTTGGCACCGAGATGTCATCCAAAAGAACTTCAATCAGATGTAAACCTTCAGCAAACAAGAGTCCAGTAAAAGTGAGTATTTTAATGGATAGAGTCAAGATAATGTGGGTGAAACCATTCTGCAGTGATCCGGTGTGTAGATGTCACTGAGTAACCTCCTCATTGCTCTGTAATTTGTTTGTTCTCTTAAACTTGTATACGAAGAAATACAAATTAAATGCTTTACACATTTATTTATTTATCCGTCTTCAGCTGTTGAGTGTGTTGTTTCAAAGTAACCCAAACATTTAATGGTCACTCATTTTTTTACCCCACGGTTCAGTTTTTAACCAGCAACCTCTCAGGCAGAGTGGGAGTAAACCAGACAAAGAATCACCTTCCATTAAAATTCCAGTCTGACTGAGTATTTCTTTCCCACAATGCAATGGACTCTAACACGTCACACTTCGCTATCAGTGGAAAACCATCTGCTGAGCGCCGACAGACTGCAGCTATAAATACCCTTGGTCCAAACCCGCTCCTCACTGAGAGGTTAAAGGACCAGAATCCAATCATTGTAACTGATGTTCAGTACATTACTATAACTGACTATAACAGTAGCACATGCAGGGTTAAGCTTTGAGCAGCAGATATTTGTCTGAGCTTCAGGCACTTAAATATTAAATCAGATATATTTGCTCTGGAATGGTAATTATGCCCTGGATGTTGATTGCTGCTAACCCCTCTGTACACAGACTGACCGCAGTTCAGCCAACAGTCCTTCATGGCTGGCGAGGGAAAACAAGCCTTATGAAAGCCAAATGGAATTTTATTTCACAATTAGGAGGTGTTGCAGTGGAAAAACACCCACAAACCAGCAGCAAACCGTCGTCTTGCCCGTCCTCTGTCTTTGCTGACGATCTGCAGCCAGGCTCACAAACAACACACAGGTCTCAGGCTTACCGTCCTCATACGGTGTGTACTCGACTTTGTATGTCCCATCTCCCTTGTCGGTGACGTAGGCGTCTGTGTTGGCGCCTGACGGATTTGAGATCGAGGTTTTGATATGGCTGCCACCGCTCTTGTAGTGAGCTCGAGCGTCCACGATGAAATGAGTGGTTACTTCCCTCAGGATGCCTGCGGAGAGGAAAGCAGCACGAAGGCAAAAAAGTAGAGAAGAAAGTTAGTCAATTTCTCCATGAAATATAACATCCCATTTTTTACCAAGATGCAGAGAAGGACTCATCACTTTTAATCATATCCAAAGACAGTAAAATATTTGAAATATTTCACTGAATACAGTCATACTGAACAGATTATTTAAAGTGCTACAGAATTCATGTTCAGTTTACAAACAATCAGCCATATTAATCACTTAATTTATTTTTTTGGTTCCAGTCACATAAATTAAAAAAAACCCAAACATGATAGAAAACGTGTATCATTAACACAGATCATAGTTATTACAAAAGATGGACTTTAGCTTCTAGTGCTGCATTTTCTGTCATTTCCAGCAGGGGGCGACTCCAGTGAAGTCTGATTGGATAAAAGTCTCTGAGCTCAGCAAACTCTTTCTCAGTCGCTGCTTTCAGGTCTGATTGAATAGAACAACAAGTTCATTTTGGATGCCGTGGCTCTGTTAGAGGTATGACGTTCTATCACTTTCCAGCCTCATATTTTAACTTTCACAGCATGACTTAGATCAGGACCAAAGGTTGTTTCAGGATAAATCCATCAGAGTAATGCAACAAGCACTCATTTCTTCTTTGCTCTTTGTTTATTGATTAAATTAGTAACGTGAGCATTCAGCAACTTCTCCCATTTGTTCTCATTATAAGACTTTATGACTTCAGTGCTCTTTTATTGGTTTTACTTTAATCTCAATTTAATAAAGACTGCAATCGAAATACGGAAAGAAAAACGTAATAATTAAAAAAAGAACAACATACAAACTAAATGTGCTGTTGGGAGTTTATTAACTGTGATAATGGAGTCTGGTGGCGTCCAGGAGGCCAATGAACCAACCACAGAGAGCTGAGCCTAAACCAGATCACACTGGAAACAGTCCTGTCGTCGTAAAAACAGACCTCAGAACAGCAGAGAGTTTGGAAACTCTAACCACTGAGACGGATAGGCTAATTAGGGCTGAAAACAAGTTAAAGGCTACCCTATGGTTTATTAAGGAAAATAGAAGGTAATGTGTACCCCATAACATAGAGGAGCCAAAACCCCTGCATCTTTAGTGGCAGACGTCCTGTTAGGGTCAGGGGCGTTTCTGGACATGTTTTTATATCAGGTGCATGTATCATATTTTATACACATACATGGCAGTGGCATTACGTCACTAAAATTTTGCAGGGGGTTTTGTGGAAGCATTTTGCACCCCTGCATGTTTACAGCTAATAAAAATCAGTACATTTTCACAGCTTCTCACACGTGTGCAAAATCTACTGAGTTTTCTGTCGTGTTTAGAGCACAAAATCGATGAGCAAATTTGATGACCAGATATTGTTTTACATTTGTGTTTGATTAAAGTATACAAACCTCAGACATCCTTCTTTTAACTGGGCATTAAAACATCTTTAAGTGCTCACCTCTGGGTTCCACTCCTGGTCCATAGACCTTCACTCCGCTGGTGTCAACAGCTGGGTCCACCTGCAAGCGAATGGGGAACTTTGGCACCATGTGTCCTCCATATTTAATGGTGATGGTGTACATGCCGTGGCACTGGGGTATATATGTGATGGAGTAGGTCCCATCACTGTTGTTCTGAATGTGAACTTCAGCTTTGGCCCCAGAGTCAGAGATGATCTCGATGGTGAGCTCATCCTCTCCGGCTTTGGAGCAGTCCACCGTGAAGGTTCCAGCCTCGTTGACCTTGCCTTGCTCCAGCCCGGGGCCGCTGGCTGTCACCTTGCTGGGGTCAAACACTGACTGGACCACAGCCTTGAAGGGGGAACCGGGGATGTGCTGGTCTGCAAACAGGATGTTGATGGCGTATTCACCAGGCTCAGTCGGCAGGTAGGACACAGAGCAGGATCCATCACCATTGTCCTGGCATTCAATCTTGGCCTCACACGGCCCCTCCACTGTCAGACCCAGACCACCAGTACCAGCACCCTTTGTGTCAATGGCAAAGGGGGCTGGTTTGCCTACCACACCACCCTGAAGGCCTGGACCGTAGGCTCGCACCTGGAAAGTAAATGAAAAAAACCAGAAGAGACACAAGGAATACTTATTAATGCTGGTTAGCAGAAGACATTAGCTTTAAGTCTGAGGTTTGCACCAGAATCAGCACAGATGATTGACTGAACATCCATGGATTACTAAACTGGTAGGCCTGAAAAACATTCACACAAGTAAAGATTTACACAAGGATTTCTCAACTAAGTACTAAGTACCTTTCTGATCCTTCCTAGTTGGTGTCTGATACTTTTTTCTGTGCATCTTTGCTGACTCGATGAAAGCCCAATTAGGATAACCACATGTCTTTACTTATTCTGACAAATATTAAAATTCTATCAGTGTGGGTTGTTGTGATCTTAACTCACCTTTGAAGGATCAGGGGGCATGATGCCCTCCACAGTGAATGGACTTCCTGGGACAGGGTTCCCATCGTAGCTGATGTCCACTCTGTATGGTCCTTCCTCAGGAGGAATGTACTTCACTGTATGAACCTCATTGGCTGTGCCCGACTCTACCTTGCAGGGGATTGGTCGACGAGAAGGGGAGGTGATCTTCACGTCTAGTTTGCCCTGACCTCCAGCACCTTGAGTACAGATGGAGAACTCCTGATCCTTCCCAACGTCTACTTCTGATTAGTGCACAGAAACAGCAGGATGGTCAGCAGGAACAGGGGTTTGGGGTTTAGGATGTTGATAACAGTGAAGTCTGAACATCTTTTTAAGCTGTACCCACACAGAGGACAATTCACTCACCGTGCATCGCTTTCAACCTGATGGTTGGTCGCTACCAGGCTCCAGTTACCTAGGTAACATTCTAATGTATTTACTAGCCAGTCATATGTCATTCACCAGTATCCTGAGCTAAGTAGCAATCACTTTAATTGCTCTCCTTAAAGTTGAGAAACGTTTATGTCACGCGTGACATCATTGAATGTCATTGATTTTCCTGTCACCATGTGAATTTTTTCCTGTGTGGACGCAGCTTTAGACATAAAGATGAAAAGCTATTATTTTTGGAAATGCTGGCGTGTGTTCGGCTGCACATTAAGGGATATTTCTGTTGGAATCCTTTGATACCGATTATAAACGAAATGGAAAAGTGGTCTAAGCAGTTCAAGCTTGTTTTATGTTAAATGATTCAGAAAGAAGAGAAATTTCCACTGCAGATCAGAATTACACATCAGTTAGATTAAATTTAATGAAACAGAGCTTGAATGAACAGCAGCTCAGAGTCATTAAGGATCCCCATGAAGGGGTTGTGATTGTCTTTCAGAGGAACTCCTGGATTCTTTTGTTTACTCATCTAATCCATCATTTACTCTCCACCTCACTTATTATAATTAGTACCAAACTGTGCAGGACTCTCTATGGAAACATCCTGTAATCTAAAGCTAAACAGCAGCTTGTATTTAGGAATTTGTGATGAATAATTCCAGGAATTTAGCTGGAAACACGCATTCTCTGCTTCATCTGCTGCGTCATGAAACCCGATCAGGGCTCCGTATGGAAGCACTTTGCTTCTGTATGATAAATGTTCCATTTTTTTCCTCACAGACTTACTGTTGTTCAGTCCCTGAACTTTGACCTTGTTGAGGTCCAGTGGGGGGGCCACAATGATGGTGAATGGACTCTTTGGGATGGGGTCTCCTCCATGACACACAATGATGGACATGCTCCCCTGAGAGAAACACAAGCAGTGCTTAACTTATGTCCATCAGTCACCTCACAGGTAATCCATCACACATGTGAAGTTGGTGTGTTACCTGCTGCACCGCCGTGTAGCGGACAGTGTATGAGTAGTCATGGTTGTCGATGATCTCAAAGTCTCGGACGGCATCACCTTTAGTTGCTCCGGTGAAGTGGACCTCAGGTTTGGCTTTACCAGCTCCCTTTGTATAAATGGTGAAGTGGGTGGGCTTACCCACCTCCACCCCTGCAAAGTTCAGACAGAAACTTTATTAATAAGGTTCTTCTATGTGCAGCACTTTGTGATTCTCTGTCTAGAAAGGTGCTATATAAATAAAATTTTACTTTATCTAATTTAATACAGATAACAAGCTAAAACCTGCTGTCCCCCTGATGGGAACAGGGGCTCCAGCAGTGAGCCAGTCCTAACAGACTAATTAAAGATTAAAATGTCCAACTTTACAACAGATATAGATGTTTATAGTCTGATACAGTCTTTTTAGATTATTTAAAGTTTGTATTATTAGAAGAATAGAATAGAATAACCCTTTATTGTCATTGTACATATAAATCAAAACTGTGGGTGCTCCACCCTAGTTGTGCCAGAATAAATTATAAATAGTAGGCAGCTGGAATCAATAGAAAACATCCATCCATCCATCCATCCATTCGCGTCCGCTTATCCTGTTCAGGGTCGCGGGGGGCGCTGGAGCCTATCCCAGCTGTCATAGGGCGAGAGGCGGGGTACACCCTGGACAGGTCGCCAGTCTGTCGCAGGGCCAACACACAGAGACAGACAACCATTCGCACTCACATTCACTCGCACATTCACATCTATGGGCAATTTGGATTAACCAATTAACCTATCCCCACTAAGTGCATGTCTTTGGACGGTGGGAGGAAGCCGGAGTACCCGGAGAGAACCCACGCTGATTTTTGTGTTGTATTGATCGCAAATGTGATAAAACCCAGCTCACCTGTCCTGTTGAGTCCAGGTCCCTCTGCCCTGACTTTGGCTGCATCATGGGAAGGATCCACCTTTATTCTGAAGGGGCTAATAGGAATTTCCTGTTTTACACAATAAGTGTGAGATGTTTTTTAAATTCAGTTTTAACATAGATGTGCATTTAAGATTTGATCCAACTGTTGACCCCTCATTTACCTGATCAGCGAACAGCACCATGATGGTGTACTGTCCGGGACCCGGAGGCATGTACTTCACTGTGAATGTGTCGTTGTCGTTCTTGATGATGTCAAAGTCGATGTCAGCCTCGGCAGGTCCGACTACACCTGGAGCGCACTTGATGCCAATGCTGACATCACCTGCAGGGAAATAATAATTAACTCTATTACAGAGATTCAAGGTTATTTCTGCAGTAATATTCAAACATCATGTAGCAGTATTCCTGTACTATTTAATTTCTTTCTAATTACACTCATAAAAACAAAACTTGGCATTACAGCATGTTTGTGTGCTGCACAGCTGGTCTGAATCTGAGTTAAAGTCATTCATTGGAGATCAAGCTCAACGATCAGAAAGACAAAACAATCTCCTATGTGTCGTGCATTGTGGTGGCGGGACATGAAAAGAGGACATTAGACATGAAACAGGTCTCACCCTGTCCGGCTTCACTGCAGTCCACAGTGAAGTAAGTCGGCTCGTTGGCCTTCAGTCCTGTCTTCTCCACACCTGGACCGTAAACTTTCACATTCTCTGGATGGCTGCCCTCTCCGATAGTCACCTTATTCACAACATTACCATCATTGTTGGCAACAATAAACCTGGCTTCTATCTAGACTCTAACAAATAAATGCAAAAGCTGAAATATGGAAGAAATCATGGAATATAAACATCCATGCTTTTAAGGAAAATTTTAAACTCATCTTTTTCTGCTAAGAAACATTTGAGGTGATACACTGAGCTCTCGACACACTATTATTAAAACACTGCAGCCACCGGAGTACCTCAAGGCTCTATTATGGGTCCCCTAAAGTTCTGTATTTACATGACAGCATTTTGTCCTTCAACGAATAGAAATCGTGTTTAGCAGACATCTGCTTAAATTAAAGGTTAATTTAGTTTTTTCCATTTAATGTTTTACTGATTACTAACAAAAAACAAACCTGAAACTAATCTCACATAGTGTCTGTTGTAAGTTGGTAATAATTCAAAGAGCAAGGTATTTGTATGTTCGTGTTAATGATTGACCAGTTTACACTGCAACAAACTGCAGACATTGTCAGTGGGATTAACAGATTTAAAGGATATACTTCAGTGACTTTAATGTAAGACTATATTTGGTGTTGGTTTTATACCCTGAATGGGCTGTTGGGGACGTTGACTTCACCCCAGGTGACGATAATGGTGTGTTTGATGGGTTTTGTGGGAATGTAAACACAGAAGTAGGTGCTGTCTCCATTATCTGTGATCTGGACGTCAATGGGGAAACCATCTGAATCCTACAACACAAACAGATTTACACTGGTGTGACTTTGAAAAGATGTTAATGTGTTATTAAAACATTACGGAGAGGCTGCCTCTGAATCCTCACCTGAGCATAGAGCTTCAGCTCTCCTCTGCCAGCTCCATGGGTATCAATGGTGAAATCAGCAGGTTTGTTAACAATGCAGCCCAAAGGCTCCAGACCTGGACCGTAACATTTCACCTGAGGAAGTAAACACATCACATGTTTAAAAATTAAACATGCAGGAAAATGTTTGAAACTCAACAAGGCTCTGATCTGACCTTCTCAGGGAAGATGACACTGGCAGCAGGGAGGATGTGGGCCATGAAGGGACTGTCCTTGATGTCCTCGTCATCACAAATAACATGGACGGCATAGTCGCCTGGTTCAGTCGGCCAGTATCGAACATCACACGATCCATCGCCTTTATCATCACACTCAATCTTAGCCTGGGAGGGCCCCTCGATAGAGAAACCTACACATAGACGCTGTTATTTAAACACTGCCTATCATTGATGAATGTGAAAACAATGGGATCTGCCCATGGAGTTCAATACTTTACATGACACACAAATATTCACAGAAATAACAGGATATACCATCAGATCCAGAGGCTTTTGGACAGTGGCAAACATCTTACACACAATGCCCTGTTTTCAGATGCTCAAAAGTAACCAGACTGTTGATAAGGAGTAGGTCTGCAGGTTGTTATTCCATGACCACTTAAGCAAATAAAAGATGTGGAGTTCTGTTTGGTAGCTGTTTACTGAAACATATGAGGTGTTAGATTTCCTTGGTCTCGTTTCGTTTGATAGATGCAGCAGAAATGTTACATCCTTATTAAATTTAAAAATATTTTTTCAACAAGATGTTGAAGTACTGTGGATTGCTTTTGACCATAAGTCAGCACCTTAAGCTCTTAACGTTTTCCTGAGTCCCATCTTTATGTTATTGTAACTAACCGAGAGTTCCCACTTCAGTTCCAATGGCCTCCACCACAAAGTCAGCACTCTTCCCCACCATACCGGTCTCCAGACCTGGACCCCAGGCTCTCACTTTCTGAAGCCCTGCCTCCTCACTGACATAAACTTCAAATGGGCTGGAAAAACAGAACGAATTGATTAGTTTTTATCTTTATTTCAGATAAAAAAAAAAGTTTACATTTATGCACACAAGTCACTGGAGTACCTCAGGGTTCAATCTTGGATCCTCAATATCTTTAGTTTTATATGGCATCACATGGCCAAATGATTAAAATGCATGCATTTGTTACTATATGTGACATAATGCACAGCTGTAATAAACACTGTTAACTCCCCAAAATGTAATAGTATGTATAATCACTCCATCAACCTCACCTGCGAGGGATGCTGTGTCCGCCCCAAGTGACGGTTACGATGTACTTTCCTGCCATGACGGGGTAATAATTACACTCATACAGGCCATTTTCCATCTCAAGCACATTCACAGACTCCTCCAGGCCCTCTATATTAAAAATAAACATAATCCACAATCAGCCCACCTTTACTGAGCTAAATTTCAAATGAAAATAAAGCCAATTACCAAAAATAAAAACATTTTGTAAAACACACTCACAAATGTACATACACAGGAGAAACCTCTTTTTGGATATTCTGGAAAGGCCATACTGTGCTGAATCCATCATTAAAAATCTCACAAATATCAGCTATAGTCAGTGTTCTGTACTAAAAATAACAGGGGTTCTCTTCAGTTTTGTGTTTAAATGTGTTTCCTTAAAGGGATTTTAGCTCCAGTTGGTGAATCTCGTGGGTTGGTGAGTCTTGCTGTCTTACTTGGTCCTTTTACGGTGACTTTGAGCTCCCCGCTGCCGGCTCCTTTGGTGTAAACTCTGAAATCTGCCAATTCTTTCACTCTCAGACCCTTCGGCTGCAGACCTCTGCCAGATGCTCTGCAGGCGTTTGGGTTACAGGCTGCAAGGATCAGTCAGATGGAGGTTAAGACTGGGAAACGATGCTCAAATGATAATGAAACTCACACAAACACACAGAGCCTGTTTCATACTTCCTATGTAATCCTACACTGAATCGCCTGGAGAATCATCAGAATCTGTCTTATCTGTCCAACTGCCTCCTCCAGCTGAAGCCATAAAGTCGGCTGCTATCATGGAGGAGCTATGAAGCTTGAAATGGAGGGCTGAGTTGGAGTTAATTTGGTCTCAGAAATTAATAGTTAATCTCACAGGTTACTCATTTACTCTCTCAGACTGATCAGTGCACAGCTGATTGAACTCAAATGATTACTGTGTGTACAACAGTACACAGTGATTCTAACTAAAATATACTAACAACACACACACAGAGCAGCACGAGTTTCTCATTAGTCAGCTGATCAGCGCCATAAAATGCAGTTTGCTGAGGCTGAAAGGGAAAAGCAGCAAAGAGGAAGACGTGATGAAATCAGAATTCAGAGCTGAAGATTCAAGAAAAATACAAAATACACACAAACTTAATAGCAAACAGAAGGAAAAACTTGCTATAGATTGATATGTTCTTTAAACTTAAACTTAAGTTTGAAGCATCAGATTTGAGAACACGATGCACTCAGAGGATAGAGCGTCGGTTAGCTGCAGAAGGAAGAGTTACTGGAGGCGACGTGAGGAAGAACAGGCAGGGTTGATGATGATGTTGGGGAGGAGCAAGTAGAAGATCACTCTGGCATTTAAGCCTCTTCTTTGATTATATATAATTATGTGAAGTCACTTGCTAACCACTTTATTTTAAAGTGGTTAATTTTGTTGTTTTGCTAAGATGTTATTAACACTTCTTATTCTGTTTAGTTGTTATTCAAATTACAGATTCAAACCAATAAAACAACCCAGAATCTTCTTCATAACACACTTTTTCTTAATACCTCCTTATATAGTTGAACCCTGTTCAATTCTACAAAATTTCTTAAAATTAAAAGTGATACCAAGAAAATCTGAGCTGTTCTTGGGCTCCAGCCCTCAACGGTTCTTGTAGATTTTTTGTTAACCATCTAAATCAAACAAAAGTCTCCAAATGTTTACAAGACGTGACCCACCACACATACTAACCCACTCAGGAGAATATTCTGGATTTTTGCTGACACAAAAGTTGAATCTGTGGGCAATGGAGCTAAAAAAACAAAACAAAAACAAAAAACTGAGCAGTAAATAGCTTGAGTTACTTGGAATTGCTTTCTTTGCTGCTTTTATCAACCTACTGACCTAACAACATGTTCTCAGGATAGATAGTTTTGACAAAATGCATCCCAGAACACCACAACCAACCCAAATGTAAATTATTAAGCTTGAATTTCTACAGAACTAAAGTGTAATAAAATAATAATGATAAAATAATGATGAACTTAAATAATTCCTAATTATTTCTGATGCCATTCAAAAAGGGCTTTAGACTACCACATTCAGTTTCTGAGATGTAGAAAAAGAACAAGCTGCTCAGGATGAAGCAGTGCCAGGACATGCTGTAAGGCAGGGAACCCCCATCCATATGGGGCCAAAGTGAAGACAGTTTGAGTCGAAAAGACCAGGCTAGCGCAGGCAGGCTCCAGTTGCATCCTGTCAATGGCCTGTACTAACTTGGTCGCCTGGGTTTGGGTGGTGTTGGAGGAGGAGCTCTCCTGGTCTTGTCAGCAGGTGGGGTGCGTATGGACTGAGGTACAATCTGCACTGGAGACCCAGGAGGAGGGACACTCTGTGAAACTGAAGGAGGGAATAACAGTATGATGCATTTGTACATCGGCACAAGGAGGACAGAACCCAGATCGGTTAAAGGGCAGCGTCACCAAAGCAAGACGAACTCTCCAAATTCAACCAAATCAACCCAACCCAAACCAAACCAAACGAAAACTAAGCAAACCCAAAATAACCCAACCCAAATGCACTAAAATAAAGCAAACGAGCCAAATCAATCCAAACAAAACTAAAACAAATCAAACACAACCAACAAACCAACGCTAAATAAAACATAGGAAATCCAGTCAACCCAAAACAAACTATTCCAGACCTAACCACCTAACCAACATAAATCAAACCCGTAGACAGTTGGGATAAAGTTTAATTCTGCATTAATTCTGCAAAGTTAGTCTCAAGTCACTGGAATTTTCTCAAGTCAGTTGAATCAGGCTAGTCCCATTTTCAAAGATAAGTCAAGTTAGACTTCAAATTAAGGTAAGCTATTCCCAAACTCAGTGTCCTGGATCAACACGGTCCTGATTTATATCTTAAATCCTTGGAAATCACATTTCACGATTCTTAAGTTCAATATTGAAAAATCCCCTCATCTAATTCCAAATTAGTTTAATCCAACATGACATCCCAAGGCTACTTCTGCAACAAATTACAAGACAAGACCAAGTTGCCAATAATACCCTAAATTTAGGCTCCAAATTAAGACAAATTAGGAACGCTCCAAACATGACTTACAAGTCCTAACCAAAAGTAGCCAAATCCCAGATCAAGAACAGCCAAGTCAGACATAATCCAGTCCATATAAATATCCACATCCTGTTCCAGCAAACCAGAGGTGATCAAACACCACAGCCTAAAAACATGAAAGTCCATAGAGTGAACCATAAAGGAAGCACAGACAATCTCAGAAGACCTGGACTTGGACGATACCAAAGGTTCCTGTTACAAAATCCATTGAAGTTTAATGTTACACGCATGCTGATCAGAGATCTGTGCTGGTGAATGTATTACAATAAGAGACAGGGTCAGTTAAATGTTTAAAATAAATATTGTAAATATTTCAGTTGACTATATTAAATGAATGAAATAAAAATATATCTGCAGATTTAAAGAATTACATATAAGATAGGACTTTAGGACAAAATTGTGGTTTTCATTTTAAATCACTGAAGGAACTGCCTAGCACCTAGAATGCAGGAAAGAGTTAGAAAGGTCAGTTTGTAGTGTTGTAGACATAAAGTAAATGTTAATAGCCCACCTTCGGAGATGTGGACAGTGAAAGGACTTCTGGGAATCTGCTGCCCAGCAAAAGTCACACAGACGACATGAGGTCCCTCCAGGACAGGGACATAGGTGCACCGAAATACACTGTCGCCTCTGTTCTCCAGGACAATCTCCACTGTATCCCTGCGGCCATTTGAGTCCACAATGATGACGCCCACATCTCCAGCACCCGCTCCTGGTGTACGGACAGAGAATAACAAGACCTTTAAACAATGGAGGAGGAATGTGACAGTCACTGGAACAGTATCAGACAATGAAGGTCATCTGCAGGAAATATAGCAGTGGATACCCAGAGCTAATGGAAATATAGAGTCAGAGTCCCTCCGAGAGACCACAAAATGTTTTTGTGCATAATTTTGGTTTTAATTTGTTCTTTCAAGAGTAATGATGGAAGAAAAACTTTTCATCAATTTTCTTTTATTAAGGGAATGTAGCTCAGACAAACTAACAATACAATGAGACTTACCTGCAGTGTAAATATCAAAGTATGTAGGTTTGTTGGCCACATTTCCCGTTGGCTGCAGTCCCAGCCCGCGGGCCTGAACTCTGGTTGGGTCGCCGCCCATGGCTTTTGAAACATTTACAATGAAGGGGCTTCTGTCGATGTCCTGACCAGCAAACAACACCTTTACCTGAGTGGAAGAGGACCGCAAAGGCCTGTTAGGTTCACAAACATAAATTTGTGTTTCCATGAACTAAACAAAAGCTAAGACAAAGGAACCAGGAAACATTCAGAACCTGTCAAAAGGACAACACAAGAAACAGCTCCTTTATCCACACATGATCCATGTGAGTTATACATGTCATTGGTTCAGTATTCCCCAATCAGGGGTATAAGCATCACAGGGAGTTCTTCTGCAGAAAGATTAGCTCAAACATAAACATTAAAAAAATTACAGAGACCAAAATTGAGCAGACATCACCAGTTAAAGTTAAAAGGAACTGATAAATGGTAGCAAATAGATATGCATACATGATTAAAAGTGATAATTAATGGTGAAAGAGAATGCAGTTATTGATGAGTCAGTGAACAGTTATGCTAATGATTGTGGATGATGACATTTATTTGTATTTGTATTTATTTATCTTAAATGGTAAAGTCATCCTTGTCCAATGTAAATGGGTTCCCCTTCAAACATGAAGGGCTCTGGGTCCATGTTATAGGCTGTGCAGGTCCATCAGATGAAGAACGTTGGGAACCATGGCCCTGTATTTCTGATCAATAACATAAGAACCACTGTACTTCTTTCAGCCTTACAGTGAGAGCTTCTTACTTTATGAAGCCCCTCCACTTTGGGCAGGTAGACCACAGAGTAGGTTCGGTTCTTGTCGTTGTTGGGGATGACTCGGGCCTGATGGAGACAGAAATGATGCAGCATAATTTCAGTTATATTTAACTTTTGTGTCCTTTTAAATTAATGTGAGGGTGTGTTTGCACCTCTTCTGTGTGTCCCTCTGGATCCTCCACATAAACTAGAACTTCTCCCAGTCCAGCCTCCACCGTCTCCACCAGGAACTCTGCTGGTTTCAGAACCATGTTACCTCGAGGCTCGATACCTGCAAACACAGCGATCACACGTAACTTTATTGTTTGAAGTAATGAATGGAAATGTTTGTGAAAGTCCTCCGATAGCATCGAACTACGTAAATGGCGACATAGTTTTTCAGATGTGGTATTACCGTGTTAATAACAGAAGCTACAATAAAGTTGACTGTTTCTGGATTTAGGGCCGTAATGTGCTGATGTCGATAACATATTTAGAAAACTTGTTTTAATTCAGCTAACAGTACAAATAAAATTGCTATTTGAGCATGATTTCAGTTTAAATGTGCATCTGAATTTATTAAACATTTTAATATTCTGGAAATTTAGCAATGATCTTTTTCCACTTCAGTGTTTCATCTATGAAACAAAAAAAGGAGTTAAATAAGCCCAAAGACATCCTCAGATTAGATACTTTTGTTAGGATGCCTGGGTCGTTGACCCAGGGTGTTTGAGTTTATGTTATTATTTATACTTTCTAGTTTTTGGTTTCTTTGAGTTCCGTCTTATGGCTTATGTCTCCCCTATCACTTGCATCCCCTTGTCTAGTTCGCGTCTATGTGTATCTTAAGTTCCTATATCCCCGTGTTCAGTCAGTGTTTGTGTCTGCCCTGTTCCCACGTCTCTGTTCCCTTTGTAGTGCCTGCATGTGAGTCTGTGTCTTTGTTCAGTCTGTGTTATGTGTTTCCTGTTTTACTTTGAAGGTCTCTGTCTTATCTCAGTGTGTTCAGTTTACGCTTCTTTGGTCTCGTCAGTTCTAATTTGTCCCAGCTGTGTTTCCCTCCTGTTACTCATTCCCTGATTGCTCCCTCTGTGTATTTAAGCCCTGTGTTTCTTAGTGTCTGTGTCGCAATCTACCGTTTATTTTGCTGTGTGTTTTGTCAATCCGCCAGTGTTAGTTTATTTTTTGACCTTTTTTCCCCCAGTTATGTTATGTTTGAGTTCAGCATTAAAGCTGTTTTGGTTTAAGTTCTGTCTCCGGAGTCTGCACCTTGGGTCCTATTCCTGTCTGCACACAGCCACACCTAACAGAAGATCGCGACCAGAACATGGACCCCGCAGACTGTTCCACCTCGGATTTTGAGGCTGAGATGAAGGAGTTGGTTGATTTGCTGGACCGCACCGCTCAGGCCGATAGCTTACAGGCTATGGCTGTGAGACTGAGCGCGGTCGAGGCAATGATTACAACCAACCCCCGGCTTCATCAGTTCTCCGTGGACACATATCTGAGTCACACCATAGCTGCGTGGAGGGAGCATGTCAGAGCCAGTGAGCTGGCTATCTCTCTCTCCGCACCAACGCAGCAGCAGCAGACGGAGCTCGCTGTAAAGCAACTGCGTTTGCCACAGCAGGACAGTGTTTCTGCTGGAGGTTCTGGAGAACTGCTCCTGTGTGGTGAGCCAGAGGATCTGCAGCCCGGTCAGCTGGAGGCTTCGCGTCTCGGTTCGCCTGCTCCCCCTTCCCGGAGTAAACAGCGTTCACGCCACTGCCACTCCAGAACGACTGAGCATACTCCAGTTTTGGGAGAAAGTGACTGCTTAGTGTTCCGGCCAGCCCCTGTGGCTGCTGTTATGTCTAGGACTCCTTTTGTTTCTCTGGCAGATTCTCAGCCTATGACTTTTTCCGTGCCTCAGCTGGCAAAAAGAACTGGAAACAGAGTGCCACCTGCCATAACTAAGTTGGCTAAAGACCTGGGACTTGGCGTTGCAGAGCTTATGGATCAAGCTAAGGTTAGTGTTTTTCGGCCTATTATATTTTCACCTGTTTGCTCATCCGTCCAGCCGTCTGTTCCCGCTGGAGGGTCCGAGGGGCCAGTTCAGCCCCCAGTCTCCGCTGGAGGGTCCGAGGAACCGCTTCAGCCCCCAGTCTCCGCTGGAGGGTCCGAGGAACCGCTTCAGCCCCCAGTCTCCGCTGGAGGGTCCGAGGAACCGCTTCAGCCGCCTGTCTCCGCTGGAGGGTCCGAGGAACCGCTTCAGCCGCCTGTCTCCGCTGGAGGGTCCGAGGAACCGCTTCAGCCGCCTGTCTCCGCTGGAGGGTCCGAGGAATCGCTTCAGCCGTCTCTTCCTGCTGGAGGGTCCGAGGGGCCCGTTCAGCCACCTGTCTCCGCTGGAGGATCCGAGGGGCCCGTTCAGCCTCTTGCCTCGTCAGCTGGGGGTCCGGGAGGACCCAGCCAGCACGTCCCAGTTTCTGCTGATGGTTCTGGCGAGGCCGTTCAACCACCACCGGCTCCACCGCCTGGTCCGGCCTCTGCAGCTCCGCCTGGTCCGGCCTCTGCAGCTCCGCCTGGTCCGGCCTCTGCAGCCTCGCCTGGTCCAGTCTCCGAGTGTTCAGCTTCGTCTGCTCCTGAGGTCTCCATGCTGTCTGTTCCTGTCCGTCCTGCTCGTCCTGTCCGGCCTGCACGTCCTGTCCGGTCGATGACTGGACGTCGTTGCCGTCATGGACAGCCCTCTGAACTACGCCGCCGTCATGGACGGACCCCTGAACCACGCCGCTGCCTCCCGCCCGGCCGGCCTCCTGACCTGCTCGGTCGCAGTCGGTGCCTCCCGCCCGGCCGGCCTCCTGAACTGTTTTCTGGGCTCTTGGGCCATCAGCCTCCGGGCCGCCCCCCTGAACTGCCCGGGTTTGGACTATCGTGCTCTCAGCCTCCGGGCCGGCCCCCTGAACTTTTTTTGAGACTATTGCCTGGGCCTCTGCGCTTTTCGTGAGCTCTTTTGTTTGTTTGCTTTTGGACTTTGCCTGGGCCTTGGTGCTGTTGTTTTGGACTTTGTTTCTGTGTTTTGTTCTGTTGTTTTCCGGGCTCCAGTGTTTGCACTTTTTTGTTTTGTTGTTTCTGGCTCCTTGTTTTGTTTCGAGCCCTCCATCCTGTTTCCCCCGCCGCCCACCCTGGTTGGGTTGTTTTTGTTTTTTTTGATGTTTTGGTTTGGGCTGTCTGGAAGCCAGCCCTTAAGGGGGGGGTACTGTTAGGATGCCTGGGTCGTTGACCCAGGGTGTTTGAGTTTATGTTATTATTTATACTTTCTAGTTTTTGGTTTCTTTGAGTTCCGTCTTATGTCTCCCCTATCACCTGCATCCCCTTGTCTAGTTCGCGTCTATGTGTATCTTAAGTTCCTATATCCCCGTGTTCAGTCAGTGTTTGTGTCTGCCCTGTTCCCACGTCTCTGTTCCCTTTGTAGTGCCTGCATGTGAGTCTGTGTCTTTGTTCAGTCTGTGTTATGTGTTTCCTGTTTTACTTTGAAGGTCTCTGTCTTATCTCAGTGTGTTCAGTTTACGCTTCTTTGGTCTCGTCAGTTCTAATTTGTCCCAGCTGTGTTTCCCTCCTGTTACTCATTCCCTGATTGCTCCCTCTGTGTATTTAAGCCCTGTGTTTCTTAGTGTCTGTGTCGCGATCTACCGTTTATTTTGCTGTGTGTTTTGTCAATCCGCCGGTGTTAGTTTATTTTTGACCTTTTTTCCCAGTTATGTTATGTTTGAGTTCAGCATTAAAGCTGTTTTGGTTTAAGTTCTGTCTCTGGAGTCTGCACCTTGGGTCCTATTCCTGTCTGCACACAGCCACACCTAACAACTTTGTTTTGAGTAATGAGACAAATATCTAAATGATTGATGGAATTTTGAGGTATTACAATACGTTTTTTTGTACAATCCCAATGAGTCGATTCTACCAGAAATTTTTCTAAAACCTCAAAACTTGAAGTTTGATTAATGAACTTTGTTCCTGTGCATTTTCCACTCACCTGGTCCGTAGGCCTTAGCCCTCTTGGGGTGTAGCGATTTGGCCCTCAAGGGGGCACCGGGCTTCAGTTTGGCTTTAGGGAACTGAGACAGGTAGGTCATCACAGAGTGCTCATCCACATTAGGATCAACGATCTCCTCAGGAGCAATCACCTGGAGAGGAAGGACAAGACGAAAATTGCATCAGCTCAACACACAGCAGCCACACACTCAAGCTTTATCGAACTGGAACTACATGTCCTTGCTAACGGTTCTCCTGTATGACTGGTAAGGTAAGTTTTCCATTTACTGACGATTTCTTCAGAAGTTTAAAAACCTTCAAGGAAAATTGTTTTGCAGCTAGAAATTTGTTTTCTCATATTATGCTTAACATCTCCTGATTTAGTTGCAGTTTTATTTCTTTGCTTTTAAGTTGGAACTATGTTAAATAGACTGGTCCTTTTATAGCAATGTTCTACTCTAGCAATGTAGCTTGCTATCGCCTGTGTGTGTGTGAATGGGTGAATGAATGTAGTGTGAAGCGCTTTGGGGTCCTATGGACTAGAAAAGCGCTATACAAATGCAGGCCATTTCACAACAAGTTATAATAATTTACGTCTTTAAGCATTTTTTTCTCTCTCTCTCTCTCTCTCTCTCTCTCTCTCTCTCTCTCTCTCTCTCTCTCTCTCTCTCTCTCTCTCTCTCTCTCTCTCTCTCTCTCTCTCTCTCTCTCTCTCTCTCTCTCTCTCTCTCTCTCTCGAGGCGCTTAGGATCGAACCACCGACCTTCTGATTAGGGGATGCCCTGCTCTTTCTCGTGAAGCTCAGAGTGGTAGGACATAAATTAGCTGATGAGCTTGTGAACATGTCAGTAAACCTGTTACAATCAATACATTTCCAGCTGCAAATACTTATTTAAAAAATAACAGCTGGAAACTTAAAAACGATTTCATTTTGCCAGAAACACATCAGATGGCCTCGATAAAGACGTCTCTAATCTCCAACAGCTGAAGTGAGTTCATAAGAGATTGAGGGAGTCGAGTCCAAAATCCTCCATGGAAGAGAAACTGGAGGGAAATCAAAATGAATGGTTTCATCTGATCAGAAAATCTGTTTTTTAATTACATAAATAACAAAAGAACAGAACACGTGAGGGGTCGGTGAAATGGTAAACAGCTGCTTGCTCAGCGAAGGAGAGTGAGAAGACGTCTGAAATCTCAGAGGAAAACCGCCTGAATCAACCTGAGAACAGTGCAAAGAGTTTTATCATTATTGTCATCGTTATGTGTTTTTTCCACTTAAGCGCTCCTTACCAAATCATTTCCCTCTAATTTCTTGTGAAAACATTTATACATTATTCCTCTCTTTACAAGTTCTGACTAAAAAATTTCTGCGTTTCTCATTTAAACGACTCTGGCAGTTGAATTTTGTGATTAAACTTTCTGGGAAATTAGAGAGGCTTAATTCACCTCAGACCTGCAGAAATTAGGCAGCAGCTGAACTCAGACTCTGACTTCGTGCCTCAGACTACTGAGTGAACAATCGCTTTGACTCATCTGCTCTGCTGCTAATTTAAACTGCAGCCTGCTCACATCTCTGCAGGCTGAAAATAGAGTCGAGCGTGTGAATCATCCACATGGATCATGGCTCAACCACGACTGCTATTTCTGAAGTTCAATTTAATCGTAACAAATATATCCTCTGAGCCTGAATTCAAAGGAACCACAAAGCTCACCGGCAGATATAAACAGCATACAGGTCAACTTATCCCTGATTCATCCATGTTCAGTGAAGCAGAGGCTTTTATTTTGTAGCTGTTTCCTAGATTTTGGCTCTGATTTTCTCATTAATCAGTAAGAAGAAACTCAGAGAACAGACACTGAATGTGTTGCAGTCCGTGCGCAGGTAGGTGTTACCTGTGGCACTCCCAGCCAATCGTCAGCCTGTTGCATGGCTTCCCGGGCGTTCTCCACTGGCTGACTGGGATCCCATGTTTCCCAGTCGGGACACAGACCTGAAGGCAGCACAGACAGAGAGGTTTCATTATGTACAGGAGACTAGTCTGTCCTGCAGGACGACGTTCAGTCTGAGTCGCCTCTGCTGCAGAACATCCGATGAGCTCCTGCTTAACAGTTTGCAGAGAAAATATTTCAAAATAAGATTTATTTTTCCTTGATTTGTGTAGCGAGTTCCTTTTTGTTCAAGCTTTAGAAACTCAGAACATGTCTGACACGAGTTCATTTCCATAAGAGACAAAGTTTGGGAGTTAATATCAAACTAACATGAAAAAAAACTACATATTCGATTTATGCCACATATTAAATTATGAACATAAAAATATGTGATATGGGCTCTTTATGGACTTTGACTACAGAGTACTTTATAATTAAAAGACACTTTGACTACTTCTGTTTCATGTGCACAATTTTCTCTAACTCGCATATGCTTCACTGTGAAATTACAGAATATTCTTGAGAAAACAAACAAATGTCTAAAATTTGTTGTAATTATGTCTGTATTTTATATTTATAAATGGATGAACGGGTTTACTTTGTAATCTAGGAGAAACCAGCTTTGTAATGAAACTGTAGGTTTAGTTATTACAGGTTTTATTTTGATTGAGCCGGTTTACTCGTTTCAGTTCTTGTTGGTTTTACATACAAACAGAGGCAGCAGACGCTCATCATCAAACCTCGTCGAGGGTCAGACTTACAGAGTCAAAGTAACAAGATCTTCTCAACATTTCTATTTTAATGCACTTTGAATTATTTGTAAATATTTTCACAGTTTAGTGCTGACTATGAACTGGAAATGGAGGAGGTGTTGCAGTTAGTTAATGCAGGTCTGTTATATGGAAATATTAAAGATAAAAGTTTCCGATGATGAAAGAGAAAAAAAGCATTTATGAAACTGGAGCAGAAAACATGAATAAAATATGTGACTGTTATTAAACATAAAACAGGAGGATTCTTCTGTTAGACCTTAATCAGAGAGAAATGATGATGAAAACAAAAAATATGGAACAATATGTTCAGCCAGTTTCTTGTAATCAGCCCTGAGCACACACACTTTGTCCTCATAAATTACTTGAACACATTTCCACAAAGGTAACGAGCCTCTGGCTGCATAATAAGCTTCACAAACTCAAAAATGAGATCAGAAAATATCCGGCACACCTCACCCTGGACTGAAAAACTCAAAATTAGCTGAACGTTAAAGCTGATGAGTTATACATATTTGTCCTTCGCTGCTCTCTGATGAGGATCAGAGCAGAAACTGCAGATTTCAGCTGCTGCTTGTTTCCTGAAGCTGCTGACATGAAGCAGAAACACAGAAACACTCTGAGCCTGAAGCTGATAAGAGGATTAACTCCTCCTCCTCCCCAAGTGTGCTGTACAAACTTCCATGTGAAGATTTCAACTTTTCCTGCAAAGTCAAGACATTTTTACAGCCTGACTCCAGGTTAGTGGGGCTGGATCAGTTCCAGAGCGAAGCACTCAGCCGATGACCAAACCCTCCAGACATCGATACAGGAAGTTAAATATCAGGTTTTCTGGAGAAAACTTTGACACAGGAACAAATCGATAGTTTAGATTTAGCAGCTGCTTCACATCAGCTCACAGATTATTTAAGCACATGTTCACTTTAACTGACAGTTTGACGGCTTCAGGGAAAGTTTTTATTTGACAGCGTCTATATTTTCCTGGAAGCTTTCCTCAGCTTCCAGGAAAACAGCAGTCGCTTTTCTTTAAATCACAGGAACATTTTAAAGAAAACCAAACTCAGTCAGCTTCCTGTCTTAAAACATTTAAACTACTTTTACTGATCATTTTTAACTTAAACATCAGCGTCTCTGCACACTGTGTGCAGTGTCAGCGGGATCCTACCGGGGGCGCAGTTGTCCACCAGAGCTCCCAGCGCCTTGCCGTCCCTCCAGTCTCGGTGGAAGTTGGTGATGGGGAGCTGGGGCACCTTGTTCTGGATCCAGCCCAGCAGACGCTGTTTAGGAGTCAGTTTCTTGGCGTCTTCGTCATCCTCGTCCTCCCACATGGGCATGGAGATGGAGTAGTGGAGGATCAGGGTCCAGATAAGACCCAGGATCAGCTTCAGATTCCCATCCACGATGGCTTTGGAGTCTGAAATAAATACAGAGTCATTCAGGTGTTTTAATGTGAGTGTCTTTCCAGGATTGAGTGCTCTAGCAAATCCACCCTGAGGTCAGACTGAGCAACAAAACCAAGAACTACATGTCAGACTCTACAAGCATCAGTTAGCAGGTTAAAAGTCAAAGTTCATGACAGCACAATTAGAAAAAGACTAACAGGTATGGCTGTTTAGAAGGGCTGCAGAGCTCAGAGAGCTGTGCATGAATGAATGCTGCAAACCTCAATGAACTAAAGCATGGCTGTGAAAAAGAGTGGACTAAAAATCCCCCGCAGAGATGAGACGGACTGATGAAGTCACACAGGAACCATCAGTGCAACTTACTGCTGCTGAAATATGAGATGGACTTAGTTTCATTAATTAAATAAAGACACGGTGTAATGTGTCATGGTTGTTTTTTCTTATGAGGTTGTTTTTAACTTTCTTTGTATCATGACTGTAGATGATTATATTTTTATACTTTTACGTGAGCTGTTGTGGTATTTTGATTCTGTGACGTGTGGAGCATCAGTGAACAGATGTTAACAGCTGGTTTTGATTAATTTAAAGTCACGTTCAGCTGAATTTGATTTCCAACATTTCGTGACCCAGTTTCCTGTTCTGCCAAAGAGTGCCAAAATAAAAGTTCACGTCTGTTCTCTGTTTATCTTTCAGACATCAGGAGACTTATTTTTTTCTGTCATCGTGCAGAAAAGTTTCATCCATCGACAGCAGCGAGCAGCATGATGTCATGCAGCCCCCGCTCTGAGGAATGAGGTCAGTTTAAATAGGAAACACATGCGCGCGCACACACACACACACACACACACACACACACACACACACACACACACACACACACACACACATTAACAGGAATCTGATGGAGGACACCCTCAGACACATTTCTCCTGCTCTGCTGAACACTGCTGTTGTTTTCTGTCACACACCTGAATTCTCAGGTGAATTTGCTTTCTTTCTATATTGAGGTCAGCTTGGCATGTGAACATGTCGTCTTTAAAACAGCAGAAAACCTTGTGTTTCCCCCTGAGTGTTGTTAAAATTTCTGAAGGCCTACCCAATCAGGAGGCGAGGAAACCAACTTCTAAACACACAGCTGGAGTTTCACTCACGCTTTGGCTGTTTTCAGCGCCTTTAACTTCACATTACCACATACAAGCAACACGAACACTGCCTGCCAGCTTATTTTGATGATGTGAGCTTTATAGATAATTGGGTAACTTTCTGAGGGAAACCTGGTCTTGTTAGGAGAGATGGTATCCGTCCCACATTGGATGGAGCAGCTTTCATTTCTAGAAATCTGGTCAAATTTATTAAAACCACCAAAACGTGACTATCCAGAGTTTGGACCAGGAAACAGAGTTGCAGCCTTACACGCCTCTATGCAGCTTCTTTCCTGTTATCCCCCCAAAGCCCCATCGCCTGTGTCAGCTCCCAAAGAGACAAACTAAAGACCAACTAGTAATAATGACTTAATGAACTTCTTCACAAATAAAATTTTAACTATTAGAGAAAGAAATATTCATAATCCTCGCACAGATGTAACACTATTTATTTAGTCTTTTACTCCAATTAATCTTTCTGAGTTAACTTCAGTAATTACTTCTCCAAACCATCGTGTCTTTTTGACCCCATTCCTACAAAACTGCTCAAAGAAGTCCTGCCATTAATTAATGCTTCAATCTTAAATATGATCGGCCTATCTCTAATAATTGGCTATGTACCACAGGCCTTCAAGCTGGCAGTATTTAAACCTTTACTTAAAAAGCCAGCACTTGGCTAGGGATGGGTACCGGTGTCCGGTGCCATGATGGCACCGGTTCTGACATAAACGGTAGTAACCAGACCGAAAAGCAGCGCACATTTCGGTGCTTTATTTCGGTGCTTTTTTTTTCCTGAGCTGTGATACACTTTAGATTCTAGCCGATCATTTTACGTTTCCGAGGATAGTAGGCGGGTCCAGGTACGTACGTTCTTTTAGAGCAGAGCTACAGATTAAAAATGCCCAAGGCGAAGTGGTCAAAAGTCTGGCTGTACTTCACAGCAAAATATGCAAACTCAGCAGCAACAAGTGCTTTAAGCTGATACTGTGATACTGTCAAAGGAGGTAACACCAAGAATCCGATGAAACACCTGGCGACGCATAGCGTTTTTTTTTTTAAAAGCCGAGAAATGCGCCGTATTTGATAGCTTGCTGCGAGACCTCACACCGAGCACATCTACTGCGGGTGTGGTGCCTGTTATCGGACCCGGAGTTAGCATCATCCCCCAAAAACCCGAAGAATAGAGTCCTGGCCCCTAGCCCTGCCAGTATAGCAGAAATGATGACGGATGATGATGCAGCAGCAGCCGTTCTTCTCTGCGTGAGTAGCTTAATGTTGTTCGTGTGTAATTTACGTTGAGTAGGCTAACCACGTTATTACATTAATGCATGTAAGGTGAACTAGCAAACATCATCATAGCTACATGCGGCTGTCCTCTTGTTTGATGGCAGATACTCCCTTCACCCTGGCAAAAAAGGCTAAAATGACCAAAGAAAAAGTGGAAAACTGTTAAACATGAGAAGTTTTTGGACAAAGTTTGTGTTTGTCCATTGTTTAAGCACTGCTTCCAGCCAAGAGTGATACCATATATGTCCCATAGCTGCAGAAAAGGCTAACATTGTTATCTTTTTACAAAAAACCAGCTGAACATGAGAGGTTTTTGGACCAATTTTGTGCTCTCCATTCTTTAAGCACTGGTTTGAGCACCGTTTAAGCACCGGCACCGTTTCAAAAGTACCGGTTTGGCACCGGTATCGGATAAAACCAAAACGATACCCATCCCTACACTTGGCCCAGCTGTATTAGCTAATTACAGGCCTCCAACCTTCCTTTTATCTCAAAAATCCTTGAAAGAGTAGTTGTCAAACAGCTAACAGATCATCTGCAGAGCAATGGCTTATCCGAAGAGTTTCAGTCAGGTTTCAGAGCTCATAGCAGCACAGAAACAGCTTTAGTGAAGGTTACAAATGATCTTCTTAAGGCCTCTGACCAGAGTTGGCAAAAGTAAAGACATGCTGTACTTAAGCAGAAGTACAGGTACTACTGTTAGAAACACACCACAAAAAGGTGAAGTACTGATTTAACTTTACTTCTATACTTAATTAAAAGTAAAAAAGTAAGAAAGTATAAGCAGATCTTTGGAAGACATTTCTATGTCTTGCACAATGCTAACTGAACCTTGTGCTATATCAACATAATGATAAAATAATGTCAGTAGATGGGAATACAAACTTTAATCTAACTTTTTTAATCCTAATTATTTTCAGTTTGAACTGGAAGAAAAAGAAGGAAAAAATAAATAAATCTATATTTCTGTTGCCTGCATTGTAGAGGGTGACTTTACCTCTAAACAGGTACAGTCAATGTGTACAGTCAGGGGTTCAAGTGGATTCAGGTGTGTGTGTGTGTGGGGGGGGTGACGACGATATGACGATTTCTACTGAGTGCTAAAGTTGGTATGAAGGTGGAATTCAGTGAATGAGTCTCTGCTACACTTGATGTAAAGTTACTCTGACCATGAAACCACAGCCACTGTGCACCAGTCACACACTGTCATTAGGTCAAAAAAATTAATCTAATCAATTAGCGACTTTATAATTAATTAATCTCGAATAATCGCATTTAATCACACAAGAAAATTTGTCCAAGAGTGCTTTTTTTTTTTTTTTTTTTTAAATTGAAAAGGGTTTTAGTGGGTGACAGAATCAAATAATAGACATGGACATGTATTGTAACTCAACCTCTTTTAATTTCTGGAAGAAAAAAAAGGATTTAACTCAATCCAAAACAGAGAAACCTAACATCCCTGTTCAAAATTGGGCAGACTTAACAATAAAGTGCCATTTTAAGTACATTTTCAAAATTGTATTGTCTTACAATAATAATAATAAAAATGTCAACATAAAGTGCAGGTTTTCTTCTTAAAAAAGATAAGGCAGAAACATAAAAGGTTATTTCAACAGCTTCACCTTTAAACTCTAAGTAACCTTATTTTGTACATTAGGTTAAAACAGTGTGATCATTGAACATTTTAGTGCAAAACATAACAAACCCACTGGAATCACAATACCTCCATGGTTATTTACTGTCCGTCTTCTTCAGCCAGTTACTTAGACAAACTAGTCTGTTCACATTTTCTGAGCTGAAGGTAGCTTTCTTTTTTGTTACTGTGACCTGCAACTGAGAACAGTCTCTCACATCTGACAGAAGTGGCAGGACGAATCAAATACTTGCAGGCCAGGACAGACAGCTGATAGTGGATCCCTGTTCGACTGGACCACCACTGCAGCGGGCAGTCTGTCTCGCTGATGGTGGATTCTGCTCTGTACAAACTCAGGGCCCTGTTACACAGGACTTCCTCATCTGAATCAGAGTCTGAAGACAATGAAGAGAAGAGGAGGCTCTTTGTCTTTGCTGGCTCCTTTGTGGTGGCATCTTTACACTGTTCCTGCAGCGGCCTCAAGGCTGGTCCAAACCTCTTTTCGCTCTCCCCTTGCAAGACACTCTAAATCCTTAAAGCATGGGTCAAGCACAGTCGCTCTGATGTGTGCCTCAGTGTATTCAGTATACCAGGAAATTGTGCATTGACAAAAGTTCCCCTTTGCTTGGAATACAAATTGCAATTAAATGCATTATTTTTTTGAATGTGTTATTTGTTCAAAAAAAAAAAAATGAATAGCAATTAACGTGTTAAATTCCCACCCCTACTTTAAATCCATCACAGTGCAGAAAACGAACCTATTTATCCTGCACTAACCTGCAGAGGATTTCAAATAACACAGTTTGTCTGCCTCAGTTTGTTTAGCAGCATGTTTCACAATATGAAAAAACATAATTTCACATGTACAGACCTGATATCTGATTTTAAAAAAACGAAGACTAGATGCTGAAGTACCACAAACACACAGCTTATGGACACCTGCAGTGGT